CCCCCAGAAAAATCCTGGCAACACCCATGGCCATTAATATATAATATCTGTTTCGGCCCATACAAAATGGTGCTCTATTTTTACAAATGAAAAAAGTCAATAAGACCTTTCTCTCATCTTGAAGTCTATTCAGCTGGCAGTGACGAAGGGGTAATGGTTGTTAAACTACTGCCCAGTACTTAGGTCATCAAGTACGAGTACTTGTACTTCCGAGTACAAGAACAGGTCTCCGAGTACGACAACAAATACGGGTACGGGTACTTCCGAGTATGAGTACGAGTACTTCTATTTCCGAATACGGCCATACGGCAAACTGGTTTATTGTGCGTAATTGGCCCAGGCCCAGTCAGACCGAAAATACAGACCCACTCACGGCTAGTTGTTAAATGTGTTTGTCCGGACGTGCACAGAGGAAAATCGGGAAACTTCGATTTCTCCGCAAGTCAATTAACTATTTCAAACTGAAAGTATCTATAAAATAAGGCCGTGGTAAGTCAAGCTACACCATTTTTTCCCCCGAGTACTGCTATTCGAGTACGAGTACTTGGATGATCGAGTACACTTTCGACATGTCGAGTACGGTACTCTGCTGCCCGAGTACGAGTACCGTAATTGGCCCAGGCAGACCGATATACAGACCCACTCACGGCTAGTTGTTAAATGTGTTTGTCCGGACGTGCACAGAGGAAAATCGGGAAACTTCGATTTCTCCGCAAGTCAATTAACTATTTCAAACTGAAAGTATCTATAAAATAAGGCCGTGGTAAGTCAAGCTACACCATTTTTTCCCCCGAGTACTGCTATTCGAGTACGAGTACTTGGATGATCGAGTACACTTTCGACATGTCGAGTACGGTACTCTGCTGCCCGAGTACGAGTACCGTCATTTCGAGTACGAGTAGTCGAGTACTTTGACATTCAAGTACAAGTACGAGTACTCTAAAAAAAAAAGTACTCGAGTAGTACTCGAGTACGAGTACCGAGTACAAGTACTACAACACTGCCCTACTCCTTTGTTGTATTCATGAATCTGTCCTTCCATTGTGCTGGTATATGTTTTTTTTTCAAGTGGTACCCATCTTATCCCCATAGACCATTTTACAGATACCGCCCACCATCTTTCTGATCACTTGGTAATTTCAGGGACTTTTCCGTCGCAGACCTCCCTACATATTACTATTTGTAGAAAAGGTTCCATCTTTTTTTCTGAACTGGGAACCACCACCTAGTCAAACTGAAGGGGTTCTAAATGAATACATCTCCTGTTCATGGAATGTTGAATACAAACTTTTTATTCCACTTTTTTGGAAAACAAAACATGAAATTTTAAAACTGCTCTTCTAAAAACCTCAGATAATGAAAGCTCAAGCTTCTCAGAAATATCAAAGCTTAAATTTCTCATTATTAAGGATAATGTTTTTTTTTTACTTTGGCAACAGCTGAATAAATTGTTTCATTAAAATTCAACATATATATATATATACAAATAGTGTGCAAATGCATTAACCTTTAATACCTTTGCATTCGTATATAAAAAGCTCTTATAGGCTTTAATAAAAATGTACATAACCACAGCAACAAAGCTGGCAGTAAATTGCTTGAACCTGAGAAACAAATAAGAACATGAATTCTGTGGGGAAAAGGTCAAGAACAGCAGCGTAATAGGGGTCACATCTGTTCAGTTGCATCATTTTAAAAGATCTTAAAGTCAACTCTCGAAACGTGACACTGCAATTTCAAGATAGTATTGCTTACTTGATTTGCGTCAGTGCCAAACACCCCCCCCCAAAAAAAAAACCACGTCAGTGAAATTTAAAGTGAGAAATGAAGTCAATTGTTAAGAAGACTGACCATAGATCCTTCAAACCATCCTTAATTAATGGTTGAAGCTTCCAGTCTGTTAAACTGTATGTGCAAATGAAAAGCTCTTGGCGAATTATTCCCCCGTCAATTTTCAATCTTTTAAATTGAGTCACTTGAATTACTATAAAAAGGCCATATCCGTGTTGGTCTGATCAGCTAATTTACTGGTTCCTGCATGGATTTACTATTTGTATTGTATGCAAAGGGTGCTATTCCAAGCTTTATATGACATTACAAATCACTTGCAAAATGACATCACTGTATGAATGAGAAAAGCGATTTCTAAAGTCTATTTTATCCAAATCAGCTGAATGTATCTGAAGTCAGATTAGCAGTGGTTACTGTCCTCGCCTTTCACCTCTATGGCCCGGGTTCGATTCCTGCCCTGGTCCACATGTGGAAAGGGTTTTCAGCATCTACCCGATTCCGTAGGTTTTCCCCAAGATTATTCTTCTTGGGTTTTCCTCCCACCTCTTAAACTGCAACTTCTTCTCATTGTCTCCTCTCTACAGGTTTCTTTAGGCTTGCAAGCTACAGTGCCCAGGGTGCTTTTGAGGCATCCTTGGTGTCATTCCAGAAATTTAAAACGATAATACAACACAACTGAAGGCCTATGTTTAGTAGTTTCGGCACGACGCAAACGTGTGATAGCCCGAAATACACGATTTACTTGTGGGGGGTGAAATTGCTTTCATGGACCCCTTTAAGCACAACACAAGAAGAGGAAACTATGACAGTGGTTCCAGCCCCCTCCTCATCCCTCACATCCTGCTTATTCATAGATCACTGCCACGCAAAAACGTGGCCGGGCTCTTCAAGTGTTTAACATGTGCAGCCTCGCAAAGCGCTTTCTTTCTTTCTTTCTTCTACCAACCAGGACAGGCAGTCATGACTTGGCAATGTAGCTTGCAGCTGCTGTGTGGTTGATATTTGAAGCTGGATGGGCATGGTTACATAAGCGGGCCATTGCAAAACCACTGCCGGGAATTTGTAATGGAAATCGCTAGAAAATTCAAAGGTCAGCAACGTGGAAGAGAGGAAGTTGCGCAAGTACTACTTGTAGGTGTTCCAAAAAAGCTATCGATGAACTTCAAAAAAATGCACGCCAAAGTTTTATAAAACAGAGTTCAAATTGCTCAACTCCCGAACAAATTTTAAAATCGGCAACACGAACGCCATTGATGGGGATAGGATCCACGGATCCAAGGACCAAATGTCTGTCACAAACATTGACAAATTGCAAGCATTTCCTTACTTTTTTTTCCAATAGCCAGGGACATGTCTCCAGTGACAAAACCATCACACACTTCCTTCAAGGACCAAGCGGAAAGAACTGAACTGTCTGATCCATTTTGTGAAAGACCAGATGTGTAATTTAGGCCAATGATGAGTCAATCACAAGTCGATTCACAAGTCTTGTCACACTTAGCAGGAGATGAACAATGACAATGAAATTCTTTTTCACAAGCCACATGGAGGTCATTCTATAAATTTGGGGTCCACTTTTTTCCTGTCCCTGTTACATCTGACATGTACAATATTGCAAATTCTAGATACACTCCTTAATGGCCTTTTCCCTAAGAGTTATTATGTATTAGGCAAACCACCTACCCAATAATTAATATCAGATGAATCTAATTCTGGAACTTTTCCATAATTAGATTCATCTCATATTTCATACTACTGGATGACTGAGAACGTACATCATTACCTACCCAATGGTTTGAACTCATTTTAAAACCCTATCGATTCCCATCCAGTCAAACTGCAACACCAGGGTTTGTTGGAATCTGTTGGAGTGAGTACTGCACTAGTGAACTGATTATGTTTTACACGGGGCCAGGCATACGACCATAATCAGAGTGCAACAGTTTAGGTTTTGAGTTACCATATGGTGTTGGATACTGCAGGAATGAGGAAGATTCCCAGTAAATCACTCAAGGGGGTTGGTTAATGATTCAAAAGTTCACAGGTAACAGGGACAGGAAACTAAATGTCACACTTTGGACTCTAAATTTAGAATGACCCATATATCGTTGCGTCAGTGCAACAAGGTCGTAACTCCATTCTGCAACAAAGTCGTATCTCGCGCGAATACGCTCCGTGCAACAAGGTCGCATCTCGCGTATTGCGATGTCCATCGACTTTGTGTGTACATCCGGGTTATTTTAACCCTAACCACCCCAAATTCATCAAAATCCATCCTCCCATTCTGGGGGACTTGCTCCAGAAGGCCTGGCGTGACTAAATATTGATGGAGTATGATGGACTTGGGCCTAATGGCCTGAAGCCAGTGCTAGGGGTATCCGATTGATTTTGCCTAGCTTCCTGTACTGCTATTGTGATAAAAGCCATGTGTAGCAAGTCCATGAATGTCAACCAGTGTGTCAGTGGTGGATTCTATTATATCATGCACAGTTTTGTATTGGACGCACAGTGATTGATGGATTTTGATGGAATTGGTCCAGTTCCCTGTAAAAGACGCTAGGGAGTTAGGGTTAAGCGAGGTACGACCTTTTGACACTGAAAACTCGTGTTTCACGTACATGACGTCACACGCCATTTTAGGAGATACAACCTTGTTGCACGGACACGACAATATACCGGTATAGCCTGTTACTATAGACTTTCAGACCAAAGGACTTGTGACTGACTTGTGATGGCTTGCTTACAGCTCTGTTAATGATGGCCCCAATTATGCAAGCATACATTCTTTCCTTTCATTGCCAACAGGACTAGAGTCAATCGCAATCATTTCATCAACTAAGGCCCAAAAAATAGTCTCCGGTTTCTGGTCTGCGCGCGCGTCCCCGTAGCCATGCGCGTCGGCAAAATGAAAAAGTTTTTTTCAATGAAAGATGATGTCTCAGAACCGCCAAACTCACTGGTTTGACTGGAATCCTGCTGCTGCACAATTTTAACGTGTTTTTAGATGGGGTTACAATCGAGTATAAGCTTTATGTGGCCTCTCTGGACTCCCGTATATTTGCACTAAGTTTAGTCAGGCACCATTTGCAGTCATCAGCCGACATTTGAAGAAAAAAAAAACGGTAAAAAAAGAAAAAAAAAAAAGAAGCTGCGTCAGCGCACCACTTTTTGGGCAAGCTCCATACCAGAAACCGGAGACTTTTTTGGGGGGCCTAAAGAAAGTGGTAAAAAGTCGCCATCTGCTGTTCATCACCAGGGTCCATTGCAAAGATTCAAGTATTCTTTTGTGTCGGGTTTGTACTGAGATGCCATACATTCTTTTCCAACTTCCACACATTACAATTCTGATGCTACCAAACATTCCTTTGATCCTTTTGCATTTAGTTTGACAATCCAAACAAATTTTGTAACATATCAAAAATGTGGCAATGTCTAGCTCGAAGTTGCATGGCAAGCATAGCATCACATGTAAATAGTGTTCAATTGTTTAACCCCAAAACTTTTGAAAACTGGGCCTGCCTCGGCTCACGTAACTTTAGAAAATTTCGGTCCTTGCATCATTTGCGATGATCAACTCTTGAAGGAGAAACAAAACCAAATTGACCTGTCTCAGCTTTCGTTGAAGAACGGATCGCTGTCTAAGACCTCGTCCAACCACTCATCCTCAAGCATGGACTTGGACTGTGAGACCTGCATGAATGGAAGAAGAAAAAGGAGAGAATAAAGCAAAGCAGTAAGATTAACGAGTAAGATTTGAGGCTCTGCATGGTGGAGATACTAAATAATGAAAGGTTTGCGGAAACACCATGTGCGAATAATTTCTCAACTAAGAGAATGGTTCTGAAAAGAACCAGAGGTATAAACTCGACGTTCCGGTCAGTATGCTCTGACCGTCTTCAGGAGAGTGCCTAAACTCTAAGAGTGCCTAAACTCTAAGAGTGCCTAAACTCTAAGAGTGCCTAAACTCTAAGAGTGCCTAAACTCTAAGAGTTTAGGCACTCTCCTGAAGACAGTCAGAGCATACTGACCGGAACGTCGAGTTTATACCTCTGGTTCTTTTCAGAACCATTCTCTTAGTTGAGAAATTATTCGCACATGGTGTTTCCGCAAACCTTTCATTATTTAAGATTAACGAGCATGAAAATTTGATTACTGCCTAATAGTGAGGCAGATATAGGGGAAATATTTGGGGGAATTGTGCCTTTGATAATACAAGCATTACATTTGGGACACAGTCAGAGTATGTCATGAGAAAGATATGTGGCTATAGGGCCATCGCAGATTTGTCATTTGAAAAAAATATATGTAGAATAACAAGTAATTTTCAAGATTTTCAAAATGGCTGCCATTGCATGTTATTCGACCTATAATTTTTCAAAGGACAAATCTGCGATAGCCCTACAGCCAAATATCTTTCTTAGGACATGCTCTCATATGACTGTGGGCCAAATGCCATGCTTGTATCATCAAAGTCGCAATCCCATCACCTATCTGCCGTACTATAAGATTATTGCCTCAAATTAATGGTTCCAAAAAAACGGAAGGCAACGGTGCAACTCATCTCAAGGATTAACCACACATAAATGAGGAATTTAGACTATCAAGACTGAGTGTTCATGGACTCTCTGAGCAACCAAGGGACCCACGTCCAGCATAATAATATAAAATTAAAGTGTAGCATTTAATGCTCCATGTATTAACAGTGTGCACATTTTGCGTCTGATGACAACATTTTTATCTTTCTTTACACATACATAGTCATAGACTACTTCCTTTCTGAGCAGGCATTCCCCGGAAATTATGTGGCAAAAAAGACTACTTGGCAAACCACCAAAAACAGCTTTCTGGGTCAAAATCTTAACGAACAGACAGTTCATGATTGTTACAGTCTACTTATTTACAGGATTGCAAAATGTTTGACAATAGTACGAAAAATTCGGAACGAACCTTCCTCCTTTGTCCATACTTTTCCTCTGTGCTTGAATTTTTGGCTATATGGCATTCACAAATGTGCAATAGTATACACATGTATATCTAAAATGATTAAAACAAAATTAAGCGGCATGTTCGGAATATTAAAACTTTCCGGACGGAATTATTACTTAATTTTTGATGCATAATTGCAGGCGCCTCCTGAGTAATCACAATCCATATTTAAAAAAAAAAACTGATTACGGGAAAAGATTAATTTGAACAAACTTTTCTTTTCAGGATCAGAGTCACTAGTGTGAGTAAATAGACAATATTTTTGGATCACCTGATCTTTTACATTAAACAGAGTTGAATGGAATCAACTCGCAATTAGTCAATTTACGAAAAGTTTCCTCTGTGAATTAGTGACGCATTTATCGACCAACAGCCTATTAAAGTGATTAAAGTTCCTAAAATAATCTCCAGTATTCTCGTGTTTTTTATAGAGCTTTCATCTATTTCAACTGAATCTGGCAATGACCTCTACAGGGTGGTCGTTTACACTTTTTCAGATGCAGATTTCTTGGAATTGGGGAGACACGTTAATATTATTTCAAGATATTCCTAAGCTATAGCATCTTCGTGGTATATGGTGAAAATGGCGCTGAAAATAAAATCTAAATTAAGAAATGGTGATGGTTTAAAGGAAGATGGTTTCAAAAAACCAGTTTGTCCACACGCAAGTCTATGAGATATGGTCAACACAAAACACTGCAATCATTGTAATTAGGTCTACCGTACATGACTGGCATAGACGGGACAAACAAGTTTTTGACCATTCTTCTGTAAATGGCCGCTACTTCTTAACTTGAGCTTTATTTTCAACGCCGTTTTCACCATATATGACCAAGATCTTGTAGTTAAGGAATATCTTCAAACAATTTCAAGATGTCTTTTCAATTATATGAAATCTGCCTCTGAAAAAGTGTAAACTTTTTTTTCGACCACTCTGTATACTAACTTGACCTGCTGCAACTCTCTAATTGGCCACTGCGCCTTGAAACATGTTGAAGCAACTGATTCGTTGTCTTGCATGCCCAAAAAACTTGATGTTCTGCAGTTGAGGGTTTTGTTTCACTAACAAAAATTTATCATTTATAAGTCTATAATTTATAAGCCTTATAATTACATATTCTTCATGGATGTTAGCCAGTCCTTGAAATAGGAATGTTTCAAATCTCAAAAGACATTCAGAAAATACAATCGTTACTTTTGCCTTAAAACTCTGATGAAGAAATCCAACATATACCAACTACCCGTCCAATTTGCGTGGGCACTGGCGTCTTGAGGGCTTACCTCGAATGACTTGACAGATTCCATGCCTGATGTCGCTGTGCCGGCTGATTTTGCCTCATCTCTGAACAGCTGCGATGATTCCAAATTCCCGGTCACCCCCTCGCCATCAATAAAGTCCAACTGCGAGAAATCACTGAAGTCTTCCTAAGCATTCAAGACAAATATCAGGAACTCAGAATAACTAAAATTTAAAACGCTATTTCTTTTTTTCATATGAATGATGAAAACCTACAAATTTGGCTATTATTTTGATCGTTTGGTGAGAATGGCAAGTAAAGTAATGGTAGTTTGTCCATGCATGCCGTGCATGCCTGTCAAGCCAGGCTGGTGTATATATGATGCAGTACCATAAAGTTATATTAAATTACTAGAACCCTAACTCGCTGTACAAATGAAGCCTGCTGGGCGCATCCATGTTTGTGCACAAAGCTATGGAAAACTGGAAATTTAGTACGGCTCTAGTACGGCTATTTGCATATTTGCGTTTGTATTCTATACCAGTGCGTTATCGAAGCCAATACACTCAAAACTGAAAAGCACAGTCAAATGGGTCATTCTATAAATTAAGGGTCAAAAGTGTGGCATTTTTCCTGTCTCTGTTATTAGTATGGAACGTTGTAATTTGCCTCAAGTATCATTAAAAATAACTTCAAACTATTCTCATTTGCTGGGTAGGTTTGCTGTTATAATCACTCTGAGGCAAAGGCATTAAGGAATGAATTTTAAAAATAGTACATGTCACAGGAACAGGAAAAATCGTGGACCCCAAATTTATAGGATGACACATTGAACCTTCAGTTTTAAAGGTATATAGTTCATCATTTTTAATTTCTGCATTTTTGTTCGTTTGAAGCAACAAAAGTGCTCAAGAACTAAAGAAGGGTGCTGAACAACTAACCTGATGAAGTTTCAGCTCAGCTTAAGCTGTATTTTTCGAGAAAAACAACATTCTAGGATCTCGATTTCAAATCAAAAGTTGCTGAATCATGTTTTGAATTGGGCCTGAATTCAGCGTCCGAGACACGTTCTCACTGAGCCGATTGCAGCTACGCAATGTCGCGCACTGATCCGACGAATTATAGCAACCGCATGCATGTGTGCGTCGTGACAATGCTTGCGCGCGCTTCGCCGAATAACAAAACGAACTACTAATTTGAATTTCCTACAGTGCTTCTTAAGAAGCACCGTTGGAAAGGCCTTCTTTTGTTGATTTCTTCAAAATGACAGCTTGCCAGAAAGAATAATTTCACAGGGAGTTTAGTCCCCTTACTATCTTTCAACCAAGTATGTGTTTCAACAATAATTACGGCAGTTACTTTTTGGATAGCTGCAAATGATGGACTCTGGCTTTAATTCTGTAAAATCTTAATAAACTTACATCCAAGCTAGCATCGTCTGCACCTGTGGGCTGGCTGGCTGGTATGTGCTGAAGGTCACACTGGCTCGCGGCTGGCTGTGAGTTGGTTACCATTGCTTTCTCAGATGACTTTGAAAACTGACAACAGGGGAACAAAATATTCAAGAAACAAAATCTTAGCCTGACAGATTTTTTTGAAAGAATCTTACAGCCAGGAAAAGGAGGGGGTTTGACCCGCCCTCATACTGATCTTGGAATGCACTGGGCGATATTTTTGACACTGAGTGCATATGCTAGTAGACATTCACCCGAGCCCAGGTTGGACGAAGTCTTCATTGCAATACGAAAACGAAAATTGCGATGTCACGAAAACGCTCAACCAATGACCAAAGCCGAAACGTGTTTCTGGTAACTAGCGCGAAAACACGCTCGGTCATTGGATTAGCGACCACGCCTTCAAGTAAGTGCGCGTGCGTATGAGAGTGGTTACTAAGCAAATCGCGCGTGCGCACTGCATATTCATGCTGCATAGTCTGGCCCCCGGACCAGACGTGATGAGCGTCGAGAATAATTGTCCGGTCTAGGGAACCAGACTACACGCTGCACAGACGTACGTCATGTACACCGACTAGAATAGACTCGGCGGTGAGAAACTGATGAAAAGAGTCTACAAACACGTACAAGTTTAATGTTGCTTTAGAGTTTATTTTCCTGATTGACGTCAGTCAGCATCGCATATGGAATTCCTGAACCCATCAGCCCAACAGATAAGGACACATAGAATACTACGACGTAAAAATTAGCTTCTCCAACAAGGTAAAAATATTGAAATTATTGGTCAGAAATGTTTTCGTTCGGTTTTGAGCACTTTTTACCCTGGACTCCCTCCGTTACGTAGGGAGGAAAGGGAGTCCACCAGGGCTAACATTCACCCTAAAACGAGCATAAAGTCAGATTTTTTAGGAATTGACTTTTTTTCTGGACTTTGCAGAACAAGAGCTTTCTCATTGTAGATAACATTTGGGAGTTTTGACTCCAATAACAAAATATTAGACCGCCAACTAAATTGAAGTTTATTGAATTACTAACTAATTTTTGAGAAAATGGCATTTAAAAATCCCACTGTTGCGTTACAGTGAATCATGACCAGTCAAATTAAACAGAATGAAAGTAGGTTTTAAAGATGTTTGATAAAAGGGGAAAATATAAAAAGGTAAAACCAGACTTACAGATTTAAGTTCACCTGAAAAACAAACAAAATATCTGCCCCCACCCATCCAAATGCTGGCTTTGCCCCACTGTTCTGTACAATGGCAAATTCCGACTTGATGCTCATTTTTGGTTTTGATGACACCTGTGCTTGAACCAACATTCATAAATACCTAAGACAGTTTACCCATTCCTATTGGTCGAGAGCCCGTCACGTGGCCAGTTTTAAACGATTGATAAAGACTGGCTGGCTGGTGTTAAAAAACTTTTCCAGTGTCACGTGAAATTTGGACTCCTATGAAATCCGGTGCCAGTACCATTTTATTGGTTGAACGTTCCCAATCCTCAGGTAGGAATGCGCAATACTACTAGTGAGTCAGTATTTCGTGGTCCTAAATTCACACTACACCGGCACAGCTGCATTCTGTGCCACATCACGCAGTACGCGCGACGCACGCGTCAATCTCCATATAAGGAGTTGTTTACGACTACTCTTAAGAGGGCCATACTGTAGCATAGCTAAAGGGGTGTTTCGAAGAAAAAAACCCAGGAAGTAAAATTGTTGAACAAAATCGTTGTAAATCTATAATTTTTGACTTGTTTTGACTTTTGGTAAAAGGTATTTATGAATTTGGCTCAGTTCATTATCAGCATGCAGACTCGAACCGGTCTTAAACAAAGTGTTAAAAACCGGCCAAGCACACATTTATTCCCTAAGTTAAAGTCCGAGGACTTGCGTATATGCATTCAAGTCTGGTGCATGATTACCTCTTGAACTTGACTCTCAGCACACAATGTGACTCCCATGTGCCGGCAAGCAATTGAATGCAGTTGGGAGGGGAGACTGGATACCAGACCAGATGAGTTAGGTACCTGTACATGGTAAATTAGCAATACATGACAAACAAGAAAACAACTAACATTAAGAAAGAGTTGAACCTTAATGGTACTCATCTAGGAGTGACAGTGTGCAGGATTTTGACAAGAGTTAGAGTTGAGACATCAGTTAAATTGTAAGTCCATGAGTTAAACTGCAAATCTGGGCATAAGTCTGAGACTTTAATTTGGGTTGTGGTCTGGTAAATCACAAATCAAGTTTAAGTCAAAACAAAAAGTTTAAGGCATAATTCAAAAATACCTAAGACAGTTTACCCATTCCTATTGGTCGAGAGCCCATCACGTGGCCAGTCTTAAACAGATGATAAAGACATGGCTGGCTGGTCTTAAACACTTTTCCAGTGTCACATGAAGTTTGGACTCCTAAAAAATCCAGTGCCTCTTACCGTTTTATTGGTTGAACGTTCACAATCCTCACGTAGGCATGTGCAAAACTACCAGTGAGTCAGCATTTTATAGTCCTAAATTCACAATGCAACGCCCCAGGTGCATTCTGCACGACATCGCGCATGCACGCCAATCTCCATAAAAGGAGCTGTTTACATCTTATTAGCGAGCTGGACACTCCATTATTTAGCTAGAGGTGTGTTTCAAAAAACATGAAGTGAACTTGTTGAACAAAATCGGGGTTTTATTACCGAAAAGTTTTGATTTTTTGGACCGAAAAGGTATTTATGAATGGGAATAAATATGTGCTTGGTCGGTATTAATCACTCTGTTTAAGACCACTTGGAGTCTGGGTGCTGATAATTATTTGGCTCAGGTAATTATCAGCACCAGACTCCAAGCAGTCTTAAACAGAGTGATTAAAACCTCCAAAGCACACATTTATTCCCTTAGTATAAGGGATGGACAACTACAAAGAAGTGCCTTTGTTACTATTCATTTGAATAGCTTGTGACTTGACTTGAGACTGAAGGACGTGTGATGGGATTTGAGTTGATTTGTTTCCAAATATCAGAATTATAATACTGAACAATAGTGCAGGCTAACTTGTGATGGACTTTTGAGCAAAGTCATTTGAGGCCGTTTGCTCAGCACGTAGCTCACCGTGAGAGGTGAATTTTTACTGAGTTTTCTGCCTCGCGAGGCCTTGAGGCAAATATTTAGATTTTTTTTTCGCCTAGCGAGCCGAAAAACTCACTGTGTGCGGTGAACCTGAGCTACGTGCTAAGCTAAAAAGATTAATTAGCCAATGAGAGCACATTATTCTTGTTTGTCAGTCGCGTGATTTAATAAATGGGGGCAAGCGCCGGCAGGCTTTAGAAGATTGCACAAAAATAAAAATCACGTGTACAGAGTACATGATTTCATTGGCTAGTTAATCTTTTTAGCTCAGCACGTAGCTCAGCTTGACCGCACACAGTGAGTGTTTCGCCTGGCGAAGCGAAAGAAATCGAACAGGATCGATATTTGCCTCACAGCCTCGCGAGGCAGAAAACTCAGCAAATATTCACTGCATACGGGATAATTTGTAAGCTACGTGCTCAGCAAACGGCCTCGAATGACTTTTTGCTCAGCACGTAGCTCTCGTGTTGCGGCGGACTTTTACACTTGCACTCACCTTCATGAGTGAGAAACATTTCTGCCTGAATTCATCGTTGGTGCTGTGACTCACGATCGTCGCAACCGCCTCAGTGATGTTAGCTACAGCGCATCGGATGTTATCCTCCTTTGTCTTTAAACTCTTAAATATATAAACAAATCAAGCAAAACATTTTTTTTTTAGTTTATGCAGTCATAGTGAGGCTTTGTTTCTTGAAACTTTGACACCTAAACAAAGTTCCAAAAAGCTGTCCAACCATTTCCTGTGAAGTCAAAGTGTACAATGTAGACTTGTCAGTCGTTTGGCATGTTCCTTGATCAATTTTTGTGGTTTTATATTGGGTTTTGCCCTTCGCCTACGTAATTTTTAAACACCCTGTATACGCCGTGTTGTCCGAAGGTTTGCAAGAAATAATTCACAAGCAAAACCTGATATGAAAAATGTACATCTCCCTGAAGTAAATCCCGTCTTATAAAAATCAATGTTGAGAAAATGATGAAGATTGCAAGACAAGGCATGCCAAGTAAAGCTGGTCCCAGAGTGCACACAATTCTATTCAATTTGGGCGATTCACAATGCAGTGCGCCACCAAGAATTTGGCACGGAGAGTTCGTTTTTCAAAGTCACGGTCGACAAAACATGGCCCATTTGAACGAGTGTCGGTAGAAAACTTGAGCTAATTTGTTATAGATGGGGCAAAGCGTTCTGCCGCCTTATAAAAAAACTCCATATTGATAAAACAAAAAGAAAAGGGCACACAGATACCCGAATCATACGCTTACGAACTTTCTGGCCGGAAAAACTAACAATTTCAAATGTCCTGCGCTGCGAATTTGTCGACCATCTCCCAAAATGCACTGGGAAAAATTAACTCTCCGTGGCAAACTCTTGGTGGCGCACTGCATTGTGACTCGCCCGAATTGATTGAGAATGGCTACTCACCAAAATGTCATTTCAATGTATATTGTCTACACAATGGGCAGTATTTAGCCCATTCAGGGGTGTTACAAATACGATAGCACTGCCTAACTCCCTTCACCAGTTCACAATACAGTGAAATCTCGATATCTCGAAATCCTCGGGGGAATGGGCTCAAATTTTGTGTTATAAGCAGAGTTTTGAGTTAGCAAACGGATTTCCTTTTCAACAACAATAGATAATAAGTTCTTATTTTGAGTTAGAAGGGTTTTCCAGTTTCCAAGGTTTTGACTTATCACCGGAGATTTCATTCATATCAATTGAGAGTGTCTCCGTGCCTTGCGTGATGAAATGAAACCCAGGCTGTAGTTGGTCAAGAGAATTAAAGCGCCCTCAGTCGACGGCAAACGAAGAGATGGCTAGATGATCCTGATGAACGAAATTCTGGTATATTTCACATTTTTGTTTGACATTTGAGGGATTTTAACCCACCCTAGAGGTGCCAATCCACATCAAGATAATACTTGTGAAACATTGAGGCCGAACATTTCGCGACAGGAGAGTTTGGAGGTCAGAAACAATTGAGAATTTTCTGCTAGAGCAACTTCAGTTGGGATTTCTGAAAGGTATGTAAAAACCTCACAGTTCTGGAAGTATATATCAATATCACAAGTGACAGTCGGTCGGTGAGTCAGTCAGATAGGTACAAAGTGGACACTAGGCTGCCCTCTGGGACCAGAGCTTATCTATTTTTTTGATCGAAGTCATCCTAAATTAATTCCCCAATTTGTTTTATCTTCAGTATTTTTCCAAGCATTCAATTGTTTCGTATATTGCAGCACCTCATCAGGCAGGAAATGAAAAGAAATGTTACAATTAGCGCAAAAATTACCTTCTCAGTCTTATTTGACTGCTCGTTCACAGTCACAGCATCTTGCTCCATTATTTTGGTGCTACTGTGCTTCAATTCATCCGCTGCATTTGAACATCACATCCGCAAAGTCTTCAAGAAACTCTGCAGTACTGAGAGAAGGAAGACTATTCAGTTAATTTAATGTTAGATCGTTTGTTTATTACTGCATTTTAAGTAAATCAGTTGTACCAATCTTTAACCTCCTGTTGCCTGAGCTCTTCTTGGATCATGGATCATGGATTGCTGTCCTCCTATTAATTATTATTATATATTTCTGGTTAGCTTGAGTAACTCCAGCTTCACAAGCTCATCAGGAATTGTAAATTTACGTTGTAAAAGTGAGATCATAAGAGACCCTAAAAAAACGGCCTCTACTGAAAATGGTCCCTTTTTCCTCTATAATTCCAACCCAGAATGTATTTACATACTTTACAGCCATATGCAGCAGTCATTCATGAAGCTAATAATTGACTCGACACAGAACAAAAGTTACTAACATATGAAAAACATTGATGATTTTGGGTGGCTTCTTCATAAAAACTGTCCAGTGCCACACTATCATATCGTGCCTGTGTTGTGGTTATTGTGTGCTAGTGCCTATCAGCCAATCAGATGATTCCTTTTGGATGTCCTACTTAGCATAAATAAACAAAGAATAATCTGATTGGCTGATAGGCACAAGCACACAATAACCACAACACAGGCGTGACAGTGTGGCACTGGACAGTTTTTCTGAAAAAGCCACCAAAGTCATCAATATTTTTCATATTTTAGTAACTTTTGTTATGTTTCAAGTTGATTATTAGCTTCGTGAATGACTGCTGCATCGTTATGACGTATGTAAATGGAATCTGGGTTGGAATTATAGAGGGAAATAGGACCATTTTGTAGAGGCCATCTTTTTAGGGTCTCTTAAAACAACACTCTCACGCAGTAGTTATGTCTCCAGCGTTACATGTGAATTCCTGATGAGCTTGTTAAGCTGGAGTTACTCAAGCTAATTTCTGGTAATGAAACCAAACATTCCTCAAAAGCGCACTAGACACTGTAGCTCGCAAGCCTGAAGAAACCTGTAGAGAGAAGACAATGAGAAGAATTTACAGTTTTAGAGGTGGGAGGAAAACCCCAGAAGAATATTCTGCGGAAAACCCACAGAATCAGGTACCGGTAGGAACTGAAAACCCAATTCATATATTTGAACCTGGGTAGTGGAAGGTGAGGATAGTACCGCTACGCCAACCTGACTTGATTGACAATGCATACCCGTCAGCAAGATGGGGCCTATTATTAGTATCGTGAAAGTGCTTATAGGCCAAAAAAAATATATACTTCTGCTTCCGATTACATGGCATTCGAAAATAGGGTAGGTAGGTAGGGAATTTTTAATTTTTTTGGCCAATTTTTTTTGTGTGCGATCATATGGAGGCGTCTACGTGTAGTCATGGGTAAAAAGGTAGAAATTAATGGTTTTGGGTTTTTTTCTCATTTTTCCAATATTTAACAAAATTTGGTAAGGGCTGTCAGAAAAAGGTACTAGGCCTAGGTAGGGAAACCGGAAGCAGAACTATTTTTTTTGCCTTAGTTAGGCCTATTTAGTTTTTTAATTATGAATCCCCTTATTAAGTTATTGCAAAAGTTGCTTTGCGATGGTGCACATTCTGCATGAGCTCTGCCCTGCGTGCGTGATCATCTAATGCTTGAAGTTTCGATTAACAAATATATATGATTTGTATAGGTCACGTCGTAAACTAATTTCCCCCGGTCCCGTCCCATCCGGTCCCCCCCCCCCCACAGTCCGGTCCCAAGCCCCACCCCTTTAATGCAGCCTCCACCAATGACCAATTTTGCACCTCTACCGCGCGCCGCCCCGCCCATCTCATATTTTCTTCGCCTTTATTGGGATAATAAACCCTTCCAATATTTTGTCATATTTGTGCAAGAAAGTTAGACAACCTGCAGATAGTTCACGACTTAAAAGAATGGAAGAAACTAACGACATGAACGAATAAAAAATACGCCGGTTCTTTACCGTCCGTGATGTGACTTTGGTTGACGTTCATTTTCCGTGCACAGCAGGATCACTAACAGTGCCCAACTTCGTACGGTTAGAGTGACATTAAAAAGCTTTATAGAATGGGAAACGCGGCAAAAGGTGCCAGACTATAATTTAGCTGGCGTTCACCGGGTACCAGCCACGGGGATTTACCTTTTGCAATGTCTGACACCCCTATCATTCCAATAAAAATTAACTGTATCAATGACTTGTCACCCGACTAAGTATGACCTCAAACGTTAGACCCCACGTGATTCACAGCCAATGAAAGAAAGGGACCCCCCATGATAATGTTGTTGTGACATGATGTACAATTTACACGCGATTTGCGTACGTACGTTTTATACGCCAAACTGTACCAGCTGTATATTCATGATGGGACTTGTATCCAAAATGTTTCCTGTTTCTACGCCGTAATTTCTTAATTATTGGACTGATCAAATAAGTCGGTGAAGTGAAATTTCGTGTCTGTAACTGGGATCAGAAGTCCGAGAAAATCAAAACATGGTAAAGTAGTTTTCTTAGCATAAAAATTAGTTCATCTCAAATCAGAAATCATCTGTCTCTCAGTGCAGGATGGGCAATATCATGGCGTATGAACTGTCTATGAAAAAGAAAAGCCATTCAGTTGAACTTGAGTAATTTGATGACTATTTCTGGAGTGTATTATTCATGTAAACTGCTGTGAAAGAATGGTGTGTATTGCTGCCACCCCTCATCTAAGTTCGATACGACAACCTCATGTTTTAATTCTTTTGTTTATGATAATGATTCAGCTTGTTGTGAGAACAAGGGAAAATGAATTTCTTGATGGCACAGTCACAGTGGTACTAGCTTTGTGAATCTTTGTCTAAAGTGACCAATCCTACTGATACATCATCATGAATGATAATATTGATATAAAGAAATACTTATTTTGTTACCCAATTTAGTTTTCACCAGCTTTCCAAAATGTTTTTTTTTCCCCAGGTTTTCCAGAAACTAAGACCTATAGAAAGAATATCGAAGTGTTTATTTAGGTGATCGTGTATCTACAGGCCCGGTTCCTATTTTTATAAGGGAACGCCGTTCCATTTTAACTCCCAGCGTGACTGATGTTTTTTAAACTCTCTTTCTTGCATCCCAAAAAATATAAATTGTCTTCTTTTATTGTGTTGAATTGAATCCTACATTAGAGAACTGTGACTTTAAACCTGTTGTTGTTGTTTTGTGTTTCATTGCAGACGCTGTAGTCATTGCTTGAAGGCAAATAGTATCATACTAAATTGCAGAGTATTTTATCTTCTTTTTCTGATTCGTGGCTCCGGAGGATTTTTTTTTTACAGGGAAATAAAGTCCGAAATTGTAATAGGTCTGATTCCCATCTCTTTAACACAAAGTCACAAATGATAATGTTACCTCGGAACCAGACGAAGATTTGTCACGGCAAACATTTTTAAGTCCCAAAAACAGTCACTGCCCATGTTCAGTGCCTAGCCCTACAAACAGGGCTGTAAATGGGTCTCTTGACATTGGTCTTATTACTGGTGCAATAAGATCAATGTTAAAAGAGAGCCATTTACAGCCCTGTTTATAGGGCCGTACCGGTAAAATACTGAAAACAATCGATACTGGTTTATGGTCAAATATCCACTGCCAAAGACTATAGGCCTTGTGTAGGGCCAGCAGCTCATAAAGATTATTTATGTTGTGGATAAAAAGGGGAAAAAGGTGAATCTTTAATTGTACAATTGTACTGTACTTCTTTCTGCATCCACACTTATTGGTAATTATTGGGCTAAAAATAAGTTTGGCAAAGCCTTAAAGTTGTTACTTTCTAGAAATTATCATTAGTGCTCGCTTGATTATGAATCATATAATGCATCTCAAAATTAATACATACATACTTTACTGATGACTAAATGAAAAGAAAAACAAAGGAACGAAAAATATACATGTATGTAAACCGCCGTGCTACCTAAAAACTGGAAAAACTCAGACGCGATAATTGACTTACATACATGAGTTAATTTGATAAAAAATTACTAAATGAATCGAAAGGATATTTTTAGAAAATGATCATCAGAAACCAAACAATATAATGCATTTTTATATTTTAAGAAAGTTGAAATTCCCAATTAAAATAATGAATTTTTGTTTTTCATATTATTCCAGATATTTTTTGAGACTCAACCTAGAAAACAACCCCAGTGTTTGTTTTCTAAAAATTTAAATATCTTTTTTTCTTCTCAGGCTGGCGGGGAGGAACCAGCTTTCCTTTCAGTAGGCACCGATGTTAGCGCCAAGTACAGAGGTGCTTTCTGTGAGGCCAAAGTGAAAATCATCAAGAAGTTTGTCAAGTGCAAGGTGAGTGTACATGTTTGTCTGTTGTCAGTACGGGTCAATGAGCAGTGAAGGTAGAGATAAATCCAGCATGTGATGATCGCTGTACACTCACGAGGCCCCCTTCAATGGAGGAGCAATTGTGCACGCTATTGTTCAAAGAAACTGCCCCAGGATGGATTATCTGAACAATAGCTAACGCAATGCCAGACTGGGACCTTGCGTGCTGAAAAATATGCAAAACAAAATCAGGCCATTTTCTCACTCTACAACTACATGTACTCACTCTTTTAACCAAAATTTTCATGAGGCAAAGACAAGGTCCTCATTATTTCACCAGCCAAATTTGAAGTCTCAATTCAATTTTTTAAGGAGACTTTATTTGACATTTTCCACCTGAGAGTAAAGCCAAGTGATTTCAATTTGAAGCCTAAAACTAGACTGGTACATGTCCAACTGTTGGAGAAGATTGACCCTTCAGTAGTCGGATGGCATGACTATGGAAATGCATAGAAACAGAGACTGGGTACCAGATGCTTCTTTGACACAGTTGATTGATGCAGTACTAAAGGGGTGTTTCAGGTGCCAGTCTATTTCAGGTGCCAGTCTATTTTCTTGTGTTGCATGTTTTTACTATCTTAAGTTTTGGGACTCTCATACACAGTATTGAGGATCCCAAATTTTCGGACGAGCACAATGCTAGCAAGAGGTTCTTCCTAATAGAATTGATAGTTTGCCTGGATTGGTGTGTCTGCTATGCTTCATTGCAGGACAGTTTGCACTGCACACAATCCCCAGTTTGTCGGCAAATTGTCCAGGCATACAGTGCAGCATAAACTTCCATTACATACCTTTGGTCTATCTGTAAAAAAAAGGTCTAATGAGGCACTAAGCAGATTTCTGAAGCACGAAGCAGAGTATGGAAAAAATAATTGCTGACCTAAAAAACAAAAGCAAGGTCACCTTTGATGTATTCTAGCTCACATGATAGCTAATGTTTTTACTTCCCTAATTATCTGAGGAATTTGCTGGTACATGTAGTTTCTTAATCCTCTGAAATTAAACACTTTGCAGTAAACCCAATGGTGCATTTTTTGTCCCTTACACACCATTAGGACAACATTTCCCTCTTAAGTAAGCAGAAAAACGGCAAGCCCTTTGTTTGATTTTTGGAAATTTTTGTTCTGGTGTAAAACCTGTTTATTACATAACCATGAATTAAATAAAACCAGCATTTATTATTTTGTTTGTAAATTGTTGAAATGTGAAGTAAAACAGAAGTTCTGTCTGGAAAAGAGTGTCCAGAGTGAGTGTTCAAAGGACAGAAAACTCTGGAGAAACCTCTGGCTAAACTATGGCAGTCTCCAAGGTATCAAGTCTTTTTTTCATAGTAGTCGGCAGCTGTAGTATACTTAATCTTACAAGCATACCCTAATTTGCTTTTATGTTTCAGATCAACTTTACTGATGCCCCAAATGGAGTGGTTCCAGATGATTGCGTTAAGGGAAACCTTAAGGTGGGTGTGCAATGCCTTGTGAGACAATCATGTGATCACAGTCTAGGAATGAAACAAATTGAAGTGCGACAAATTATTTATTTTTGAAGGATCATATGTGACTTCCCAGTGACTATTCTGGGCTAATAAGAATTAGAAAATAAACAAACATTTTGGTAATGAAACAGTTTGTATGCATAATCCATAAACTAAATACATCAATTTTCTAGAACACACTTTCCTAATTTCCTATCTTCTACATTTGTACATCCAGCGTGTATTATATTGTCATTTACAGACAAATAATTTGTTTTTTTCTTCTGATATTTATAAACGATGGCCCTGTTTTGCATTGTCAGGTGGGAGCGACAGTGGAGGCTAAGCACCCCGAGACAGATGCCTGGACGAAAGGTGTCATCATGAAGCTGACTGATGCCAGTACATACACAGTGGGTAAGTGCGTCCAATATGACATTTTTTTTTCTCCATTAACAGAAAAAATTGACTGGAGCTGGATTTCACCCAGCAACCTCTGAAATACTGAATGGCTACTGTACCAACTTGAGCTGTCCAGCCTTAGGTCTGTTAGTTTGAGTATTTCAAATACTATATTTGCTGGAATATTAAAATATTTAACCTGAACTCCCTAGAGTGTGTGGAAAATCATATTAACATTGACAGATTCAGGACTGTTAGGGTTAATGTTACCAGATGTACATGTACAATGTAGTATTTTGATCACACAGTTTAACCCTAACAGAACTCAACCCATCAAACCCCAACAGCATGTTTTGTTGGAATCTGTCAGGATGGGTACAGTACCCCTAAACTGACAGTCTTTACATTGGGTTGGCACACCTCCAGAAACTAAGTCAGAAATATGTGTGCACAGTTTCCCATATGGTGTTGGAATTTGCCAGGATGGGTATGGTTCCTAGCAAATCATGCTAGGGAGTTAGGGTTAACTGGGGATTACAACTGCAATGCATGAAGTTAGCAACATGGCAAAAAGGCACACTTGATTTAAGAATCTGCACCTCCATCGAAGTAGTTATGTTACGCCTTAACTATACCATCGGTCCAAAGTTAAGTTGGGACTATCCCAACTTGAAGGTCCCCACTATATACCGGTAGTTCCAGGTAGGCAAGACCAACTGAGACGCTGCTACTCTGTGCTCATACTTGCCATGTTAGAGGGCACGCATTTACGAGCAATGCCATACACATCCGACTCTTGTGCTGCAAAGTGCCTGAGAAACTAACTTGTATTAAGTTTGGGCTATTTACATGTATTTTGTATATATGCGACATGGATGAAATTGCAAGTTGACACACTTTTGATGAATTCTGCCTTGAAAGCTATGCTTAGTCCAAGGCAACCTTGGTTGTGCCGGCCTTTTTACTAAGGGAATAAATGTGTGCTCCGGAGGTTTTTATCACTCTGTTTAAGACCACTTAGAGTCTGGGTGCTGATAATTACCCGAGCCGGAGGCGAGGGTAATTATCAGCACCCAGACTCTAAGTGGTCTTAAACAGAGTGATAAAAACCTCCGGAGCACATATTTATTCTCATTCATAAATACCTTTTCGGTAAAAAAAAATTCATATAATTCGTTCAAAACATCCCGATTTTGTTCAACAAATTCACTTTATGCTTTTTGAAACATCCCTCTTGCAAAATAATGGAGTGTTCAGCTGGCGAGTAAGATGTAAACAACCCTTTTATGGAGATTGACGCATGCGTATCATGTTCTGCGCGATGTCACGCAGAACGCAACTGGCGCGTTGCGTTTTGAATTTAGAACTATAAAATTCTGACTCCGTGGTAGTATTGCGCATGCCTACGTGAGGATAGTGAACATTCAACCAATGAAACGATAAGAGGCACTGGATTTTTAGGAGTCCACATTTTATTGTGACACCGGAAAAGTGTTTAAGACCAGCTAGCCATGTCTTTATCATCCGTTTAAGACCGGCCACGTGACGGGCTGTCGACCAATAGGAATGTGTAAACTGTTTTAGGTATTTATGAATTTTTCTTAATACTCCTGTATGCACAGTTGATAAGTTTAAAAGAAAACACTTCTGTCCAGTTAGGTTCACAAAAATACATGTAAGTGTAATTGATGCCTGTCCTTACAGTTTTTGATGACGGCGATGAGAAGACATTGAGGAGAACATCTCTGTGTCTGCAAGGAGAACGACACTTCAACGAAAGTGAGGTAGGCTAAAGAGAACAGTTCTTGCATTTATTATTTTTTTCAAACTCTGTTTCTGTGGCAATGGATGACATGAAGTATTTCTTTCTAGTTTGTAACATACTGTAGTTGAAAAATGTACAGTTCGTCATGTATGTTGTACACAGTGTGTGTCAAATACATATTTAAACACAGGACAGCTATTATGTGTGCTGTACATGACTGGCATCAAAAATATTTGAAACCAACTGAATATTTCAAGCTTTACGTAAAATTTAACATTCAATGATAAAAAAACATCGAGCATAATGCCAGAGGCAATACTGTCAAAAAATAAATGTAAAAAAAATAAAAACAGGTGTCCCTTTTATAGAGAAAGGATTTAGCCTTTGAATCCAAATGTTTTATTAAGGGAATAAATGTGTGCTCCGGAGGTTTTTATCACTCGTTTAATACCGCTTAGAGTCTGGGTGCTGATAATTACCCGAGCCGGAGGCGAGGGTAATTATCAGCACCCAGACTCTAAGCGGTATTAAACGAGTGATAAATACCGACCGAGCACATATTTATTCCCATTCATAAATACCTTATCCGTACAAAAATTTCAAATAATTCGTTCAAAAAATCCCGATTTTGTTCAACAAGTTCACTTCATGCTTTTTGAAACATCCCTCTAGCAAAATAATGGAGTGTTCAGCTGGCGAGTAAGATGTAAACAACCCTTTTATGGAGATTGACGCGCGCGTAACATGTTCTGCGCGATGTCACGCAGAACGCACCTGGGGCGTTGCGTTTTGAATTTAGAACTATAAAATTCTGACTCGCTTGAAGTGTTGCGCATGCCTACGTGAGGATTGTGAACGTTCAACCAATGAAACAGTAAGAGGCACTGGATTTGTAGGAGTCCACATTTTATTGTGACACTGGAAAAGTGTTTAAGACCAGCTAGCCATGTCTTTATCATCCTAGCCATGTCTTTATCATCCGTTTAATACCGGCCACGTGACGGGCTCTCGACCAATAGGAATAGCTAAACTGTCTGAGGTATTTATGAATGCATGATTACAGTACATGTGTGCTTCCTTTTTGGCACTTACATTGTAAATCTAATTACTCAAATGTTTTAAAGTATTTCGTCTGCATATTTCACCATTACTGTTGCATCTGGACTATTGTATTTCAGCATATTAGATGCACACCAGTGTTTGGCATTTGAGGGATTTAGTACACTAACAGTGTGTGCTTGTTGATTCATTTGTCATGTTTGGCAAGATTCAAAAGGTTCCTAGAAACAAGTGAAAAGTCAAAACAGTGCAACTGAAAAACGGAGGGACTAATCAAAGGAAAAGAAAAAAAGCAAGGAAAACGATTGACCGAATGTCTTCATCACTTCTAAAACTTTGAGTCTAGGCAGAAATGAATCTTTTTAGAGATACTTGTGCATATCAAGCATATGAAATTGTAATATAAATCATAATTTTTTTTATAAAGTTTTTTCATCATTGTCCTTTTCTTCTTACAGACCTTGGACCACTTGCCACTGACTGACCCTGAAAACTTTGGCACACCTGTCATGCGTGAAAGCCATAGTAAGAAAAAACGACGGCTCAGCACTCGCTCTCAGTAAGTTCAGTAAAGAATACAAACAGATATTTAAAGGCATAATCAACACTTTCCTAAAAAAAAAGTATAGAAAAACTAAAACAATTTTTCAATTAAAAAAGCTTAAAGGGAATGTACATCATTTGCTTTTACTGTAATTTTCAGAAATGGATGGAATTGGGGGGTTGGAAATATATAGCAAATATAGTTACACTGACTTTTTTGAGGTTTTGGGTTCAAAAATGCTATAAAAACCAAGAAAAACAATCATTTTCCTGTAGTCTGGTTCCCTGACTCCATATAAGAAGAAACAGAGCAGTTTACATACATTGGGGAATTGTAAGGTCAGGGAACCAGTCTAGCTGGCTCGTACCCGTTCATAGGTTTGTAATCGATTGCAAACAAGTGCAATGGTCAATTGGGGCCAGTATTTGAAAAAAAAGCCAGTTTTTTCCAACGCTGATCGGCCGATCAGCGTTGGAAATTGATACAAAAATACCACTTTTCTTGAAAATGACAGTATACCAGGTGCCACGATTTTACAGGATGCTTTAACACTGTCATTCACTAACAGTCCAGCAAGGTATTTCAAAATGATTTGGTAGTTTTATTTTTTGATGTTTGCAAATGTTGTATTTCCCTTTAATACTAGATTTTGCACTGTATTTGTTATTTTAAATTTTTTTTTTTTTTTTTGCACGGAGATTGAAATGTTTCAATACTTTAGAATTTGTTTGCATTAATTTTTGAATTAACTGCTTGACATGCTTGACGTAAAACACTCCGTTAAAGACAGTTTTTTGCCTCCATACATCAGGTTTTTGTGATCAATCAAATGTCACTTTTTCACATTAAGAACTAAATGGTGAAGGTAATACCAGAGTTCATTGTGCTCAAATATTTTTCAAAAGTTTTGAAATTTCAGATATAAAATGAAGCACTTGAGTACCTGAGTTGCGTAAATAAATTTGGCAGAAAAACCAACTTATCCTTTGTATTGAAAAGAATTTAAACTGCCATCCAAATTGGCTGAATACTGTTATACATGTAGATAGTGTTAGGGCCCTGTCACACTTCAGCGTATACTAATTCCTTATGAGTTGCGCATTGACATTTTTTTCATACCCAGTCGTACGCACAATACGCACCTCATATGCATCTCTATCGTTTTGTGTAGGTTTTATGTACGCAGATATACGCATGGTACGGCCCAGTATGCAGGATAGTTTTGGGCATGCACAAAACTACGCTGCGTACGCTGTTACGCAGGTCATAAGTTTTAAATACGCAGCGCATCGGTCCCGCATCGGTCGAGTTCGCATCGGTCGAGTGCATACGAGTACGCTATGTGTTCGTGACGCACCCCGTCTGCATATGAGCCGCCTGTATTGGACGTATACATAGCGTACTTGCAGCGCAGATGCAACGCACGCTGGACGGCGAGCGGCGGAAATGCAGCGGGAATACGCTCAGAAGTGCGTCAAGCATGCGGTTGGCATAAGTCGGGTGCGTCCGGAATACGCTCGGCATGCGCACTGCATACTGACCTATTCGCAGCCCGAAAAAAATGTTGTGCACTGCATACGGAACTCATACGCATCTCATACGCAATGGATGCGCTGAATTCGTTACTTGTACGCTAGATGTGCGTCGCACATAAGTCAAAGTGATAAAAACATTTCGACGTTACTTGAGCGTACGGCTGCGTATTGAAAATTTTTGATAAGGAACTCATAAGGAATTAGGAAACGCAAAGGTGTGACAGGGGCTTTAGGAGTGTGCATCAGAACCAGGTACCCAAGTACCGGACCACTGAAGTCAGGAACCGGTTCCAGATTATGGGATCGAGTACCCGTAACCAGCTCTACAAATTACTTAGTAACTTCTCAGACAATGGAAAAGAAACATTTTGAATGCCATTTGTGGGGAATTTTCAAAATGAAAACCAGACTACATGGAAAACCAAAACAGCTATCACGTTTATGTGTGATAGATGATGCTCGCAAAAGTTGCAGTTTACACCGTAAAGCTATAAAACCCTTCAGACAACTTCCGGGATTTGAATTTTGGTGTTGGTTTGTTTTACGGGTACTCGGGTACATGTGTTTTACTTCAATAGGGTACCCGGCTCCCGTACTACCCATGCACACAGCTAGATAGTGTCCACCCTTCTTGAATAAAAATGTTAACAGTACACTTACCCTTCTTTTGATCAGTTGGTTTTGCAAATGTTTCTAATACTCACATTCAAGTTGCAATATTTCTTTGTTTTTTTTCTTTTTGGCTGTACAGTGCTGATGATGATGACGATGATGAAGACAGTGACATGGAGCCATCATCCAAGGTGACCAAGAAGGACGACCGGGATGACAGCATTGGCAAGGTCATCGTCGTGGAAACCAACGACAAGCGCAAGAATGCCTGGTTCCCTGCCCTGGTATGGTTAATCTTAGCCCGACTGCGTCTGGCCGTACAGTACTAGCGCAAGCTCTGTAGTACGGCCAGACGCCCGATGCTTCCACAGAGACTGAATTTTTTGGGCCGCCGATGTAGCGATTTTGCTACATCTTTCGATCGCGATTATCTGTTCATCCAGGACACAAATTTCCAAAGTTAAGGCTCGTAGTCGTAGAGCAACTCATACCTTTTCGAAAAAACGTTCTTTGGTCTCAATATTTTCATTCATCTGGCCACAAGACGAATTTCAGTCATCAGATTCCACAAATATCGTCCCCCATGCGATCCCCCATGCGATTTCAAAATGGCGGCCGCGCTGTAATGAATGCATTATGCGAGCGCGCTTGGGCAAGATAATGAATATGCATTATTTAGTTCATGACCTCGTGTTTGTATGGCCAGCCGCGCTGAGTGTCCGACAAACGTCATAAACTATGATGCATATTCATTATCTTGCCCAAAAGCGCGCTCGCATAATTCATACATTACAGCGCGGCCGCCATTTTGAAATCGCATGGGGGACGATATTTGTGGAATCTGATGACTGAAATTCGTCTTGTGGCCAGATGGATGAAAATATTGAGACCAAAGAACGTTTTTTCGAAAAGGTATGAGTTGCTCTACAACTACGAACCTTAACTTTGGAAATTTGTGTCCTGGATGAACAGATAATCGCGATCGAAAGATGTAGCAAAATCGCTACATCGGCGGCCCAAAAAATTCAGTCTCTGTGGAAGCATCGGGCGTCTGGCCGTACTACAGAGCTTGCGATAGTACTGTACGGCCAGACGCAGTCGGGCTAGGTTAATCTTTGAATACGGGCAAGTCCACGCTACAGCCTGCATTACCCGAAATCCATCACGGGCTGGAGGCTGGAGTTCTCATGGATACCAAAACAGTTTTCTGTAAAATTATTGTTTTGCAGCCATTGCCATTACACTTTAAAAATGCAACTTTGATTGTGGTGGTATTTTTTTTCTCCAGGTTATCGACCCAACAACTGCTAAAGACACCCAGCCCAAATCCAAGGATCATGTCGTTGCCAGATCGTTCAAGGACAATCGATAGTAAGTGACCTCTTTATTATATCAAACTTAATCCTTTCATCATTTGGAATCGTCCCTCAAGCTTTAAGTCACTGTACAGCCTGAATTAGACCCTGCAGAGAAAAGGGTTAGTATTAATGCTTCGTGAAGATGATGCATTGCCTTTGCCTAATCTTAGGGCATTTATAATTTGGCAAACTTTTGCGGTTGCATTTATTAGGTCTCTAAAGCCCGCTGGTCACCTTTTTTGATTTTACCGGATCATCAGGCCATCAGACGTACAGATCGGAGAAGTGTGCGCTGAAATATCGGACCAATTTGACCGAACACTGGGCGACCAGACGAAATCAAACATGTTTGATTTTTTGCATCCAATTTCACTGGATCTGATTTCACCAGAAAGGTGTGCGGGCAGCACTCCAATTTCAACGGACGCGATATTTATGTTAACCAATCAGATTCACGAAGGAAATCCCATGATTAAAATTTGATGGCTGCCATTTTGTCATCATGTAACTGGTCATCATGCGACTGGTCATCATGCGACTGGTCATCATGCAACTGGTCATCATGCAACTGATCATCATGTGACTGATCATCATGTGACTGGTCATCATGTGACTGATCATCATGTGACCGATTCTAAAATGGAATCGAGCATGTGTGCGGGTAACATTGCGTTCTCTGCAACGGTGAAAAAAAAAGTACCGGTGATCTTGTAAAATCAGAAAGGTGTGTGGCGGGATTTGTGTGAACGTACATGTCTGTGAGAAGACCCAGTTTATTCTTCTCATAACCACAGATACTCACAATAGAGGTATGCGCATGATGCTGATGCAGAACTTTTGACTGTTTCTACACAATGTGAACCATTGCGGCAAATTTATCAGAACATGTACTTCTTCTTTCCAGGTGATTGAAAAATTAAACTTGATATTATTGCATTGTTTGTGTGCATTTTTGTCGTACAGTTACAGTGTTGACAAGCAGAATCGTCGAGCGTTTGCCTCCAAAGATCACAACTACAAAGGAGACTTAGCCACTTTGAAAACAGGTCAGACAAATCTTCCCTAGTGTTGACCTTTGGCTTAATTTTATAAAATCGGTGCCTGTTGTAAAAAAATGTTTGATTTATTGCACTAATTGACAATTTGGAAACAAAAATTGTAATAAAACTGCAGATTTGCTTATAAAAGATGAACCTTTGATGCGGTTTAGTGAAATAGAACTGTAAATGGAGCACTGTTAATTGTCACTTATGATAAGCAATACAGTGACAACTAGTCCGTATCAGTCAAAGTTAGCACTGACTCGAATCTTAATAATATCTTAACTCATTCCAGTGGGCATTACTGGGCTCAGTGGGTAGTACTGGGCTCAGTGGGTATTACTGGGCTCAGTGGGTATTACTGGGCTCAGTAGGTATTACTGGGCTCAGTGGGTATTACTGGCTCAGTGGGTATTACTGGGCTCAGTGGGTATTACTGGGCTCGGTGGGTATTACTGGGCTCTAGTAATGTGCCTCTTGTGTATCAAGCTCATTTCCTAACGACAACTGACTGATTTGCTTTTTGTCTTATTTGCCATTGACAGCCGTGGAAAAAGCTGTCCACTTTGTGGAAACGGGCCAGCTGCCTGGCAACTGGGACCCAGACATGCTGAAGAGGAATCGTGGGGCCGGTGGAGCGAAGGGGAAGGGGAAGAACGATGGAGACAAGGGGGGCGGAGATGAGGAGGAGGAGGTCAGTGAGGACGACTCCGACGATGATGAATATGATGAAGAGAAAGATGCTTGGTTGGCATCGCTTCACAAGTTCATGGAGGAGAGAAGTAAGTAGAACTGGTCGAGTCTATTTTGTCTGAGTCCGACAAGAATGCTTAACTGTTAAACTAGAATATAAGCTAGAATATAAACCCGAGAAACTGGACATTAGTCTGAGAATGTGGAAATTCAATTACTGGTTAGAATTTGATCATTTGGATATAAGGCCACAAAAAAAAGTCTCCGGTTTCTGGTATGTGCGCGCGTCGCCGTAGCCATGCGCGTCGGCAAAATGAAATTTTTTTTTTTCAATGTAAGATGATGTCTCAAAACTGCCAAACTCACTGGTTTGACTGGAATCCTGCTGCTGCACAATTTTAACATGTTTTTAGATGGGGTTACGATTGAGTATAAGCTTTAAGTGGCCTCTCTGGACTCCCATATATTTTGCACTAATTTTGGCACCAGCCATCAGCGGACATTTGAAGAAAAAAAAAGAAAGAAAAAAAAGCCGCATCGCTGCACCACTTTCGGGGCAAGCTCCATACCAGAAACTGGAGACTTTTTTTTTTTTGGCCTTATTTATCAAAAAGACCCACCAGGTGGGAACCAAATTCACAAAAAAAAATCATTTGCTTGAAGAATTAATGATAATATGTAACGTGTTCTGTCAAACCCACTCTTCTGGGAAGCTGGTCGAAAAAAAAACAGTGTTTTTTTTGTGTGTGTAAATATCGATCCCCCCTTGTTCAGTTACAGTTAAATTTTGGAAAAAAAGACTTTCGTTGGCAAACAATGCCCATTTAAAATTTGTGATGTCACAAAGGTGAAAACAGAGAAATTGCCTGACAACGTATTGGATTATCTATTGAACTGATACACCTCTAGAAATTATCAAAAGTTTATGTTTAGAAGCAAAATTATTGTCCGGATTTTTTTCACAATATTCCAAATATATTTAGGATCACAAATTTTCGAAAAAATTAGATTCAAAAAAGAAAAAAGGAAAATCTTTCCCCTGTTTTGGGATTGTATCTCCACTTGAGCTTGGCTCAGAAGCATTTGGTTTTGACAAACCATGTCATAAATTACAGGCACACCTATCAACAAGCCGCCGGTTTTAGGCTTCCGTGACCTGAACCTCTACAAGCTCTACAAGCTGGTCCAAGACTTCGGCGGTTGCCGCAAGGTGACGGACAAGCAGAAATGGCGTCACATCGCTACCAAGATGGGTATTCCTGCCGTCACCACCTCACAGCCTTACAACATCAAAGCTGCTTACAACAAGTGAGTCAAAGATACTCTCTGCGTTCCACTAGGAATTTAGCTTGTAGAGCAATTCCAGCATCATGGACTTACACAGCAGACATTTCTATTTTTGTTAAAGGGAAAATACAACATTTGAAAACATCAAAAAATAAAACTACCAAATCATTTTGAAATACCTTGCTGGACTGTTAGTGAATGACAGTGTAAAGCATCCTGTAAAATCATGGCACCTGGTATACTGTCATTTTCAAGAAAAGTGGTATTTTTGTATCAATTTCCAACGCTGATCGGCCGATCAGCGTTTGGAAAAAAAATGGCTTTTTTTTTCAAATACTGGCCCCAATTGACCATCGCACTTGTTTGCAATCGATTACAAACCTATGAACGGGTACGAGCCAGCTAGACTGGTTCCCTGACCTTACAATTCCCCAATGTATGTAAACTGCTCTGTTTCTTCTTATATGGAGTCAGGGAACCAGACTACAGGAAAATGATTGTTTTTCTTGGGTTTTTATAGCATTTTCGAACCCAAAACCTCAAAAAAGTCAGTGTAACTATATTTGCTATATATTTCCAACCCCCCAATTCCATCCATTTCTGAAAATTACAGTAAAAGCAAATGATGTATATTCCCTTTAAAGAGCTCGGTGAATAAACCTGAAAAATTTACTTTTCAAATCTTATAGATCTATCAACTATTCATGAATACCTAAGACAGTTTACCCATTCCTATTGGTCAAGAGCGCATCACATGCCCAGTTTTTATATGGTTGATAAAGACTGACACTTTTCCAATGTCGCATGAAATTTGGAATCCTATGAAATTCGGTGCCTGTACCATTATATTGGTTTAACTTTCACAATCCTCACGTAGGCATGCGCAATACTACCAGTGAGTCAGTATGTCATAGTCCTAAATTCACACTACCCCGGCACAGCTGTGTTCTGCGCGCAACGCGTGCCAATCTCCATATAAGGAGTTGTTTACAACTACTGGCGAAAGGGCCGTACCATATTATAGCTAGAGGGGTGTTTCAGAAAACATGAAGTGAAATCCTTGGACATTTTTTTGGGGGGACTTGTTTTGCCTTTTGGACCGACTGAACAGTTTTGATATTTTTTTTACCGAAAAGGTATTTATGAATGGGAATAAACATGTGCTTGGCTGGTATTAAACACTATGTTTAAGACCAGTTTGGAGTCTGGACGCTGATAAAATTCCTTCGGCTCGGGTCATTATCATTGCTCAGACTCCAACCGGTCTTAACATAGTGTTTAAAACTGCGGGCATACGGCGCGAAGCTAGCACTTCTTATTGTATTCTGAGTGTACGCAAACCAGTTGCATCTTCTTGTGAACGTCAGATGCGACAGGTATGCGTCAAGATGCCACTTTTCCGGTTTTAACCGGAATTCCGGTTTTTAAAAAAATGTCACAAATTAACCAGAAAAAGAGAAGAAAAACTGTGGAAATGTGTTGATTTTTACCTCGATTTAATAGTACATTTAGGCGCACGCATGGCACAACGTTGTTCGTTGAAGTAGTCTTAAAAACAGTCTTTGTGTATGTTGTTGCCGAGCCTGCATGCGATACAAGCGGCCAACGTACTTGCACGCAGTATACAACGGCGCCTCGCGCGTGCTTCACCGCGTGCGGGCGTGTTATGTGCTAAGCACACGTAGCATTCAGCCTGGAAATCAAGTCTATCATTTCAGCTATCGGTGGTTTCCGATCGCAGTGATATATGTGAATACAAAAAATGCGGGTACCAACCATGTTTTCGTTGAGCGCATCGCGTATAGTGCAAGGATCATATACATGTACACCGACAGCAGTGTTGTGGAATCGTGCATGTTTCGTGTCGAATATTACGTTGGAAATTCGGGTGGGCAGAATAAATAATAGGAATATGGAAAAAGTCAAAGTGATTGAATGAACCGACAGCTTTAAAGGCCATAGAAGCAAAATTAAAAAATAAACAGAATTTGGCTTGGCTACAAGATAAAGATGACAACGGGGACTTTGTGTCGGACACGGAGTGGCTTTTTCACACACACAAAAGTTCCGTTTTTTTCAAGTAGCCGTTCCGGTTTTTTTTCAAGCAGACCCAGTTCCGTTTTTTTTCAAGCAGACCCTGTGGCATCTCTGATGCGTTTGAACATGTACGTTCCAGTGGTCTCCCCCAACTCTCTCTATGTAACCATTGAGGGGGTACTTGTGCACGAAGTCCATTTTAAAGATGTTTACGTATTTTGTTCAATCCTCAACAGGTACCTGTATGCTTTTGAGGATTACAATCGCAAGCTGGGTCCAGGCATCAGCTTACCCAGGACGCGACGTCGGTCCTCGTACGGCGAGCACTGGCCCATGCCCACCCTGCCTGTCCTGACCAAGATAGAGAAGACGCCTCCCCCGCCAAAGAAGACACAAGAAGAGTCAGAGAGTGAAGATGAGCCGGCAATAACCTCACCAAGATCCAAGAAGAAAGTAAGACCTCTAGCAGGGAGAATGAGTAAATTATAGTTAGTAAAGGTTTTTAAGTTACTAAACCCTTGCTAGTAAGTTTCTACAATGTGTGTCATCACATTTGACATCACAAGTCGATATAAACAACCATGTTTTTTCTTTGAATTTTCAGGGCAATAAGAAGTCTGAGGCCAAGTCAGAGAAGGAGACGCCGGACAAGAAGGAGAGCAAAGCCAGAGAGAAAGAGCGCAAAGAGGAGGAGAAAAAACTCAAGGACAAACGGGAGCGGGACAGCAAGCTGGAGAAAGAGAAAAAGGAAAAAGCCGCCGAGGAGGAAAAGAGGGAAAAGGCCAAACAGGAGAAGGACAAGAAGGAGAAGGAAAGCCGCGAGAAAGTAGGAAAGAAAGACAAGAAGGACGACAAGGAGGCGGAGCAACAGAAGCAGAAACGACTCAAAGAGAAGGAGAAAGATGCCAAGAGACGACGGGATCCACGGACATTGGAAGGACCGGGCGGGAAAGCCGACGATAAAGAGGAGGACGAGGACTCGGGAAACGATGCGCCGGAACAAAAGTAGGTTACCAGCAGATGCGTTAGTTAGGTCACAGCACAAGTAGATAAGTCATAAAAGCCAATAACTAATAAACATACTTTGAATTCAAAATCAAGTCAATCACAAATCAAAAGTCGCATCACAATTCCAGCCTCAAATGAACTGAGACAATAGCATTTCTTTAACATTGTCAGTCCTATGGGCTACGTGCACAAGAAAAAGAGGGCGCTTTTTGACTACTTTTGAGAGCCCAGTGGATTGCGTATGGCACAAAGTACGCAGTACAAATTTTATTTTGTATGTGCAAAAAGCCAGTCTAAATTACCTTTATCCTTTCAACATTGCCGTCTATTTTCAGGCCAGACCACGACCCTTCTATCCAGGCTGACTTTGAGATCGGTGAGAAGATCAAAGTGCAGTACGGCCGAGGCAGGACACAGAAGATCTACGAGGCAAAGGTACAAACATCTTCATATTGGATAAGCTCATCTCATCGTTCTGTCTTTAAAGATATTTTCATAGTCATTACTCCACTAATCTGTCCAACCTGGTTCCTCCAATCAAAGTGTTTGAAAGAGAAACTTGGCTTTCCACCTGTTCTCATCCTAAACTGTTGCTGTGCCTGGATGTAGAACAAAAGGATATTCCAATAGGTTTTTCCCACGCGCTGCATCTCGTGGGAATTCCTTGCCTGGTGCTTGTTTCCCTCCAGCCTATGATCTGTCCTGTTCCAAGAGGAATGTTTATTTCTACCTTCAGTTTTCCTGAGTACCTACTCTTCTTTTTATTTCTCTTGTAGCCACCTTGTGTGGTATTTAGCCTTGGGGCGAATATGCTTGAAAAAAAAAAAAAAAACCAGAAACAACCAGCTACTCAATACTCACAACTCTAACATCGAAGTGCATCACATTTGTAGAACATGTACATCGCTGTGTCAGAAAACATCATCTGTCTGCCCCTAGGGTCAGTGTACTAGATTCAAGCCACTTTTCTTTCTTTTTTTAATGATGTGAATTTAATTAACTTGTGAAGTTTGTTCTGCTATAATCATTGAACCGTGAAATATATTTCATATGTCTAACATGATTGAGGTTTAGATATGTTGAAGTCAATGAAAAATAATGTCTTTTTCGTGTTATGTACAGATTGTTGATTATGAAGTTGAGGGTGGACGTGTGGTCTACACCATTCATTACATGGGATGGAACGTCCGCTTTGACGAGGTCATCACGGCTGACCGCATCCTGGGCTGGGCAGAGAAGAAACGGGAGAGGCAGCAGAAAGACCGGGAGAAGGAACGGAAGGAGAAAGAGCTGGAAGCGGAGAGGGAACGGAAGGAGAAGGAAGAACGGGAAAACGAGCGGCGGGAACGGGAAAAGGCCAAACGGGAGCTGGAGAAGGCCCAGGAAAAGGAGCAGAAGGAGAAGGAGCGCAAGGAGAAGGAGAAGAAGGAACGGGAAAAGAAGGAAAAGGAGCTGAAGGACAAAGAGGAAAAGGAGCAGAAGGAGAGGGAAGAGCGGGAAAAGGCGGAACAGGAAGCCAAGCGGAAAAAGATGGAAAAGGAACGGGAAAAGGAGAAAGAGCTGAAGAAGGCATCGGAAGAGAAACCCGAGAAGGATAAACACCAGGCCAAGAGTTCAGGGAAGAGAGGCCGGCCTTCGGTATCCAAGACACCCACATCCACACCAGCGACCAGCTCTTCTGGTAGCACTACCCCACCCACCAGCGCCACCACCCCGGGAAGGTCAACCCCTCCCCAGGAAGGCAATACCAGCAAGTCCCCGGTTCTCAGCAGGTCCTATCCAACTCGTGCCAGCAGGAGATCAGACAGGAAAAGCTTGTCAGATTCCCCATTTGCTTCTGGTCTTCCAGGTAAATATATGTTTTTCTTGTACAAAGTAGCTTTTCAAGCTCTGGCCAAAGTTAAAGTGTGTAAGGGTTCTTCTATGAATTGGGGGTCGGCTTTTTTTTCCTGTCCCTGTTACGTCGGACATCTATGATTTTGCATTCTTGTGCATTCCTTAACCCTAACAGAACTCAACCCATCAAACCCCAACGTCATGTTTTGTTGGAATCTGTCTGGATGGGTACAGTACCCCTAAACTGACAGTCTTTGACATTGGGTTGGCACACCTCCAGAATCAAAGTCAGAAATATGTGGTGCAGTTTCCCATATGGTGTCGGAATGTGCCAGGTACGGGGGGTTGTTCCTAGTAAATCATGCCAGGAGTTAGGGTTAATGTAGTTATCCTCCAAGAGTGAATACGGATAGAAATCTACCTAACAAACAAATAAAAAATTGTTTGAAGTCACTTGTAATGATACTTGAATGACAAATTACAAAGTGCCAAGGTAACAAGGACTGAAGAAATGTCACACTTTGGACCCAACATTTAAAGAATGACCCATAAGCTTAAATACTAAAAGCTGTTGGCAAAAAAAAAAATCAAGTTGAATTCAGTTGGAACACATTTAGCAGAAGAATAAATCTATCTACTGGACTATGCAGTGCAAAGGCCAATTTACGCATACGCGACTTTGTCGCACGACGGTGTCGTGCGTTTTCATAAATGCTGACCCATCAATGAGTGTGTTTACATTTGCGCGACTTAGTCGTGCGTCTTATCATTCATTCACTTTGTGCTTATTTATAACGCTCACCACTGTCGTCAGACACTGTTGCGTCTGTGTAAATTGGCCTTAAGATTGTACTGGTTTGTAAGGTCTTATGTCTTGCAAATCCTTTAGGTGGTAGTATTCAATAAAGTAAGAATTCCAGAGCGATTGTAGTCCACCCAACTAGATTTTGGTTTCAAACAAGCAAACTTTATGACTTCATTCTCCTGTTAATAGACCCTACATTCATTTTATACAACTGCAGCAGCCAAGTAAACAAGCTTATAATAGCCAGTGTAGTCACTCCGGATTGTTTCAACTGTCAAAATTAACGCAAATCTTGGGAATAACTCTATGTTGCCTAACTCTGTTTGAAAATGGGTTTCAGAAGGTTACTTCTCATTGAGAGACGGAAGTTACATTGGATGAGAACCTTTTTTTACGATCGAGATAGAATTGAACAATTTCTTGTCTTGTCTTGCAGCCAAACCAAGGCCAAGGAGAAGTTCTGGATACTCAGAGAGTGTCTCCAGAAGTGAGAAGGAGTGTAAGTATTCCAATAAGTCTTGATAGATTTCTTGCTTTTTTTTTTTCCCCCTTTTTTCGGTCCCTGACGATTATTGCCACAGTTATGATATATTATGGTGTCTAAAAGCTGCAGGAATCTGTCCTTCAATATTGTGCATTGTGGTGAATTCTAGTCACTGTTTGTCGTTGCCACAGGGCTGTTTATTGCCAAATAATTCAGTGTTTGATTATTCAAATTTGATTCGATTACATATTTGAATATTTGAAACAAATCGATCAAGTTCTACATGCGCCATCTAATTGTGTGCACCAGGCAGGAATTGTATTGGCCGGTCAGGAACTGGGCCCAGTTTCATGGCTCTTCTAACCACGGAATTCCGCACTTACTATCACCATTCTATGCTAACCACGCTCCGTGCTTACTATCATTCTATGCTAACCACGCTAGCCGAAAAATTCTGTGCTAACCCGGTAAGCACAGTTTGTTACTGGATGTACACATGCACATAAGCCAAAATTCTTAGCTTATCCGTGAAATACGCATACTGTAAGCACGGAATTTTCTGTTACAGTAAGCAGGTATTCTTCGCTAACGGTAAGCAGAGCCACGAAATTGGGTCCAGCATGCACACACCCTGGTTGAAATGAATGGGCTACCGATTGGGATTTGCCTATGCTTGTTGACAATTTACAATGAGCTTATTTGTCGGACATCCATTTATGTTTTATCTTTATCCACACAGGGTCTGACAGTGAGAGTGATGAAGTGGAAGAAAGCAGCTCTCAGGATAGTGAATCTCAGCCGCCGGAAAGCAAGGACAATCAGGAGACTGTGGATGAGGAAGAGAAGGTCCAGCAGGACTTGGGAAAGACAGAATCCCAGCCAGAACTCATCCTAGAGAAGCTCAAGGAAGACAACGTGGATCTGAAGGCGGCCAAGGAGGAGAAAGAAGGAGAAGTGGAGAAAGTCGTCAAGGAAGATACAACAGAGGTGCCAAAAGATGCCGATGATGTCAAAGATGCCTCGGAGGAAAAAGATCAGGAAGGAAAGAAAGAGGAGCTGGCAAAAGAAGACGAGGAGATGGAGTCAGAAGAGGCAAAGGTTTCATCAAATGAGAGTCCACCAGAGCTGAGTCCTCAAGAAGAACCTCCAGTCCAGCCTGAGGAGAGCACCAAGAAGAAAGAGAAGAAGGAGAAGAAAGATGCCAAGAAGGAAGGCAAGAGCAGGTCCAAGAAGGAGAGCAAAGCCAAAAAAGAGCAGTCCCGCCAGAGCTCAGGTGATGCCAAGAAAGAGACCAAGGGCAAGAAGGAGTCTGCGAAGAAGTTGTCACAAGCGAAAGCTGAGGTTGCCAGGGAAAAGGAAAAAGAGGAGCAAGAGAAAGAAAAGAAGGAGCGGGAGAAAGAAAAGAAGGAGCAAGAGTTGGTTGAGAAGATGTTGGCACAGGTTGAAAACGAGGGTAAGAAGAAAAAAGGAAGAAAGCGTGGAAGAGGGAAAAGCGTTGAGAGCAAGGCTAAATTAAAAGACGACGGAGAGAAGGATGACGTTGTTACAGAGCCCCAGGAAAAGAAGAAGAAAGAGTCTGACCAGAAGCACAGTAAGAAAGCTGAGTCTAGCAAACCAGACACCAAACAAGAATCAAGTTCCAAGGATAAAACTGTGGACTCTGAGAAGGCGGAGAGTTTCCCAGCCCCCTCCGAGCCTAGTAGCAAGGGCAAATTTCTGCTGTCGACCCCACCGACGTCACCGGAGAATTCCCCTGCTGCACCTTCATCGCCGGCAGGCCATGACATGGCCAAGGGCTCCCACCACGAAGCAGATGATGAGCACGTCAGTAGCAAATCAGACAGCGATGCCATGATAGAGGTGGCAAGTCTTGGGGAGTCCAGCCAAGCAGCGCGACGGCATTCCCCTCACCACGATGCTAGTTCCTCTAGTAGCAGTGCCGACATGGGTGCAGGGCATGGCCCCGCTGTAACCGCCGATGTGAGAAACGTCAAGATCGAACCGATGGACACGCCATCCCCCAAGAGGCGAAAACGGAACACCTCGGAGTCGGAGAGCACGCACAAGCGGTCGCGCAAGCGGAGCAGGCGTCAGTCCTCCATCTCGGCTGCGGTCGCCGAACGCCGCCGATCGTCCGCCAGGGATCAGCCTCGCAACAGCAGCAGTGACACAGATGAAACCCAGTCAGACACCAAGCACAGCCATGCCGCACATCGGACAGAGAGACGAGAAGCAGAGAAAAGGATGACGGAAACACTTCCAAAGATTAGCAACAGTCCAAGCACCAGCAGGATAGAAGGACCACCCATACAACGCAAGTGGAATTTTCTAATAGGTATGTATGTATGTAATTGGCTAATAGTTTGCCGATATCAAGGATTTCTTAACAGTTGTGTATGTCATTAGCAATTTCAGTTCCTATTTTATCTCACTCTTGCCACAATCCATGCACACAAACGTGTGTTCACGTCGATTGTGGACGTCCTATTGTCCCTCTTTTGTTTGTACTCTTTTTTTTTAGGAAGACTCCCATAGGTTTTGTACACAACCCCAATCGCGGACGTATGCTGGGAATCGTGGACGATATTGTTCTCTTTTGTTCTCTGCTATCTTTCGTCCACGGTTTGAAAAGATGAACACGTACCGGTACTCTTGATCTTGTAGAGCTTGCCTAAAAATCCCAAGATCACCTCCCTTTGAATTGATTAATTTTTTTAATCTGTTCTTCATTCGGTGATCCTTCATTTGGTGATCCTTCAGCTATTATTTCATCCTCATTCCTTGATCTTCAATGTTTCTGTCCAGACGTTAGCCACATCAACGATCCCGAGGAGAGGATAGAGCTGATCCAGAGGCAGTTGAATGACCTGCGCAAGATCTACATGCAGCTCAAGCAGGAGGTAGCCACCATCGACCGACGCAGGAAAAAGTTCCGGCGAAAAGAAAGAGAAGGTGAGGGCAGACACTAAAACTCCTCATTTATGTTTGGGAGTCGGTGCAGAAGCTGGAAATGGTGTTAGCTTACTCAAGGAATGAAGAGTGACGTAGAGGCTCTGCTTTGGATTTGAGAGTGGCAAGTGTGTGCTACCAAATGCCCAATGATGTGCATTCGTATTCGTAAAAAAAGTGTCAATTTATGTCAGTAGTTTGTGTCATTTGAGGATGTGGTTTTGCACAGGGTCCGTTTGTCAAGCAGGGTTGTGGTCAAATCCTTGTTGAGTGATAAGAAACAAACATGGCGGATGTTGAGGTATTGTTCGAACTTCCCAACCACCACATTGTATTCAATAGCACTTTAAAAAACCCAGAGAAACTGTTACAAAAGCTGACACTGACTCTTTCAAATCTTGGCTCAAAACTTACCTCTTCATTCAAGCTTATCATTCATTGTCTCAGACCCCAGCGCAGTGAATAGGGTTTCCTATATACCAGCGCTGTATAAGTTTTTATTGTTAATATTATTATTATAAATGCCCCGTTTTGAAATAAGGTTAAGGCAATTAAGTATACATAAGATGTTCATGTGTGTATCATGAACAGCGCCCCCTAGTGTAATGTGGTGTCCAACAATCCCGATCCCCCCTAATACTTAATATTGAACATGATCTTGACTCTCCATTCCTATTGTCTGTGTACTTTTCATACTGGAGCGAACCAGACACTACATTCTTCGTTTCCCTGTTGATTCATTTCCTTGATTTTTGCTTTTCTTTCTACAGCGGCAGCAGCAGCAGCCCTAGCGAGTCAGAAGCAATCTTCCGAAAAGAAGGCGACAGACAGCACGTAGAAGCCACTCCTTTTTATTTTCTTTTTTCATTTTTAAACTGCACATGAGTCCTTATACAACAAATCAACCCCTTTTGTGCCAAAGACTGTCTCCATTTTACCGCCGAAAGAATCATTGTCTTCAAGGTGAATTTGTGATTTTTTTTTTTTTAAGGAAAACTTTGAATGAAATGACTGTTTGCAATAACAATACCAAGCTGCTTTGCATATTTGTGTATGTCAGATTGGGAATTGTAGCTTTATCTCTATAAAAAGAGCCTGTGCCATATCCATATAAAAAAGGTTAAGCACAGCAGAGACCGAAAATTTATTTAAAACTTGTTATTGGTAAAATGTGACAGATTTGAATTAAGGACAGATCAAATGCACGCGCTTCATTGGTGTAAAGGTGTGTCTCACTATACATGTACATGCTCACCACCTGATGATGCTAACACTTTGCACTACTATAACAGGCTTTGTCAGATGCTTCAAGCATAAGCACTGAAACATGCTGTTTTAAAGCTACAGTCCATCATTTGCAGCTATCCAAAAAGTAACTGGTGTAATTATTGCTGAAAAACATACTTGGTTGAAAGATAGTAAGGGGACTAAACTCCCTGTGAAATTACTCTTTCTGGCAAGCTGTCATTTTGAAGAAATTATCGTTGGAAATTTCCGGGGTTTTTTTTATTTGGCGAAGCGTGCGTGCGCAAGCGTTGGCACGACGCACACGTGCGCGCGGTTGCTATAATTCGTCGGATCGGTGCGCGACATGGCGTAGCTGCAATCGGGTCAGCAGGAACGTGTCTCTGACGCTGAATTCAGGCCCAATTCAAAACATAAATGCTGTTTTTCTCGAAATATACAGCAAAAAATGAGCTGAAACTTCATCAGGTTAGTTGTTCAGCACCCTTCTTTAGATTTTGAGCACGTTTGTTGCTTCAAACAAACAAAATGCACAAATTACAAATGATGGACTATACCTTTAAGTTTTGGAAAAATTTGGAGCTTGGACAAGAGCCTCTATGAGGCATGGTGGGTTCAATAATGAGGGCGCTGTTTGGTTCAGGTGAACTCTTACTTTTATTGACCAAAATGTACCAAAACCAGGATATTGTGTCCACAATATCCCAGATGTCCTTTTTTTTTCAGAGTTTCCACACTGTCATGGGGAAAAAATCCTGAAAAATCTTGTAATTTAAAGCTTTCATGGCAAGTCATCAAAGAGTTGTAAAATGTTATATTACAAGGAGTTATGAAAAAATGATATTCCGAACAAATTATCCTGCACAATTCATATGTTTGGCTGTGGCAGTCTTCCAGTTTGCATGCCAGTTTACTGTACTACATGTACCTCCTTAATTCGTATGTATACTCTATACTTGTTGCATGTTCAATGCACCATTTGTGATGCTTTTGTGGTGCTCAGTGGTCTTGTGTCAAACTGGAAGGCTGAAAGGGAGTGGCATCCCTTGCCTCGGTGTGATGACTGGAAAGTGTATTAGGCTCCTAAGATGCCAAACCAATGTGGGAGTCAGTCATGGAAAGCATTCGTTTGTTCTGGAAAAAGCATGGAAAAGTCATGGAATTTCATTTTAAGATTTCTGCGGGAAACCCGTTTGTTAACCCTAAGACTCCTTTTCATGCTTTTTCACCTTTTTCATTGTCAGTGTGATCTCTGGGCTTGTTGGTAACAAACACACACCAGTGCAGACACTCTTGTTTTACTATACTCCCAAGGACAATGCTTTGTGTTTCCCTTTGTCCCTGTAATATAACACTCTCCCATAGACTAAGCACACGAACCTACTACAGAGGACCATTATGAACAAAAGGTCTGAGGACTGAAAGGATCTGTTCTCCCTTTGTGTGTCGGTCCTCGGGGGTTATGTAGAGCACGTACTGCAGTGCAGTGCAGTTCTGGTTTTAAATTCAGGGTCCAAAACTCTTGATTGTGCTTGATTTCTGAAGGGGAAAAAAAATATGTTTTTTTTTTCCATGGAAAATGCTGATTTTTTGGGGGAAAACCGTTGCATTTTTTGGGGGTTGACAAAGGTTTTTTTTTTTTTAATTGTGTATTCAATGTATTAAGAAAGGAGACAGGATTTGCATGTGTTTATAATGAGTTTTACAGTGTGCTGCAGAAAAAAGCCTGTTGGTTTGAACTTGGGTCTGTCGTTTATTAAAGTTAGAAATACAGTTAAATGAACTTTTCATAAACAATAACAGTGGTGCTTGAAGTAGAATGAGCCAAACAGTTATCAAAACCAGACAATAGTATTTGAAAACCAGCAATGTAACTTTTGATTACTTCCAAATGATTCGGTGGAATATTCCTATATTTTGCTGATCTCCAGTTCCTGCAGGAAACATATGTGACCTGTCACCATAGTCGGAAACTTTGCAGTACAGTAGGACAAAGCCGAAATTTCAAGGGGTTGGTATTTTGTTTTGTTTTCAAGTGACCCTCAATCTGTAAGTCTTGTTCTGCCTTTCCTCATTGTCTTTGTTCCATCAAACATCTTCAAAACCTCTTGTCATCCCGTGTTATCAGTTGACTGTAATACAACAGCGGCGTTTCAAATGCCATTTTCTCAAAGATTACTATTACGACTTCAGTTCAGTTGGGGGTCTATATTTCTGTTACTGAAATCATTACCTGCACGCGTCGTATACTGTTAAAAAGCTCGTGTTCAGCAGAATCCAGAAATGAAAATATCTCGGTTCTTGAAAAGTCTGACTTCATGCTCATGTTGTAGTACAGGTCACATATACTTAAACACGGGAGAACTTGGCCTTACAAATTGAAACAGTTCAAAAGGTGTACCCACTTGTGCAATGCAGAACAACAAGTGTAGGTTTTACACACATGTACACTCGCCCAGGTTTATTTGCAGAGGACACTGATAATCTGTTACACGGTACCCTGTGGAGACATGGGTATAATAGGGAACAAAAGATTGAATACGTCTCCACAGTGCAATTTCTATAGGTGACTACGTCTCCACAAGGTTATCACGAAATAGATATATGGATTTCACTCAAAAACTAGGAATTTCCAAGTTGTGTTGATCAGTCGCAAATCGAAGTATTTTATGTAAGGGATATTAAGTCCGAATATCAGCCCAGGAAATTAATTCTGGTTAAAATAGGAGCATTTTGAAGCTACACAGGACGAAGAAATGACTCCACAAGGATACAAATTCCAATATATGTGTGATTTTCCATGTGTCTTCTGTTTTCCACACATTATGTTACGGTGCACACAAAAACCAGCATTAGTTCAGTGTTAGAATCTGTATATCTGTCGTTTGTGAATTTGTTGTTTGTGCATCACCATGAAGTCATTCCATTGATTGTACACCACATATTGGGTATGCTTTGGTGAGACAAATGGATTTGAAATGTCAAGTAACTGATTGTTGTATTTTTTTTCCCACAATCACTGCATACATGCTATTCCTGACCGTCCGTATACGAAGCTACCTTCCAATTCTTGTGGCAACAGTCGCCAACTTGAAAGCAAAGTTATCTTTTTAGGGAAGACATGGTCAAACACTAAGTATATTTATATATCAAGGAAAATCTTCTTTGGAATAAGCATTTTCCCAGAGATTGGGAATTTAAGGCACAATTTTTATCAGAAAGTATTTGCAGGTGTAAAGGCCAGAAGAGAGAAAAAATGAAATACGTCATGAAATTGTGTACATATGGTTTTTATTTAAAAGACTTTTACACGCTGGTTTAAAGCTGCCTTTGGAGAAAACAAAAGGTTGCTTGCATCGATATTATTCATGTGTGTGTATAATATTTGAAATTTTTAACTGCCAGGGTTTAGTGGTAAAAACGACAAGTTTAAATTGGACCGAGGTTTGCATGTACAGTAGTGTAGAAGTTTATGACAAAATCTCCATTAATAATGTGATCTTAAATGACAGGAAACCAAAAAAATTGACAATTTGTTTTGACGATAAAACTCTTGAAACATGCATTCTATTTTGTGTTTAGGATGATTGATTTAAAATATCAGCCTTCCGTTAAATTGTGAAGATTAGGTAAAATTGGGAGTTAAATTAATGTGTTGGTTGGTGGTTGATAACACTTGTTGATCATGCACATGAAATAGAATTTGCGATTGCACTGCAGAGTCTACGCAGTGTAATGTCATTTGGAACCAAAAGAAAAAGATAATTTTGAAAATTAAATTTAAACACTCTGAATTGTTTTTAAAATACTTCCAGTGCTGCAGTCGACCCACCATAAAACGTCTATTGATGTTATGTAATCAATTGCTAAATGAACATCTGCTATGTCATTTTTGAGGGAATTTCTTTTGAATATAATGGAACCTGTGGAGATGTAGGCAGTAGCTTGTTTTTAGAATAATTGATCAGAAAAATTGAGGTTAAATCTCAATTTTTAAACAATGTGTGCATTTTTTGGTCTAGCTTTTACAGTGAATAAAGGAAGTAACTTTTTTTTGGTTCCATACAGAATAGTAAAAATGTAGACACGATCACAAGGCAATTCCTGATTATTCAGAATTTGTTGTATACTTTTTATCTGGTAATAAAAAGAAGCATCTTGCCTTGACTGACAAAACAGTGTTCAGTTTTTATTTGTTCACACTAAAAAATGACCATTCGTGTATGTTTGCGACCATGGAAGATTACAGAAATTGTTGGGATCAGTGTGACCCGTTCTCGCGAATGTTGCTTCCGTGTCCTTTTCTGGAGTTCCTAGGTATACTGAAATACTTGGACACATCGGCTTAGCCAGGGTTCTCATAGGGGGGCGCCCAAAAATTTCATCGGTGCTGAGAGGTAGATGGGTCTTTTTCACCCTACACCCGATCTCCGTAAAATCAAAGGGGGGGGGGGGGGGACACCATCTCCCCATGGGGGCGCTGTTCAAAACCTATATCATGGTTAATGTTGGACAATAACTACCGCTATTTCAGGCATGCAACTTTTCCTCGGATCAGCTGATTTCCTCTTTTTTTACTTCCCATGTGTGCCATTGAAAATAGAAAAACACTGTACAAAGTCTTGGAAAGTTGTGAAGTTCCTTTTTTTTTTTGACTTCCCAGTTGCATGCCTGCTATTTGCTTTCCAATAAAAATAAACAGCCATTCACAAAAAGAAAAGGTTTAGGTGGAAAATACATGTATGCACAAAATCGTGGAAAAAGGGACTTATATGGAATATTCATGGTTTCTCATGCGGCTGTGCTTTGCTTTTCTCCGGATGCCAGATATCCGGGGGGGGGGGGGGGGCGCGAACTTCTTATGGGGAAGGGCTGTTCTGGACAGCAGGAATCAAGCCTAAGCAGCAAAGCTGTGCTGATGACTGCGTACCTAACGCAATTACAAACCAGGGCGGATCCAAAACACAATTTTTTGGGGGGCCCAAAAAAATTTGGGTCAACAAAATTACGGCGTGGGGTTCGGGGCCCGCTTAAGGGCCCCGAAATTTTTTTGGATTCTAGATGCTCTGTGGTGCGATCTGAGGCAATTTCTGACCACTTTAACCAATGTTTTTTGAGAAAAAGATGGTGGTGTACTCATTGCCTGCCTTTATTGCGATGTCACATAAAAAAAAAAAAAAATTGGTTTCGTTTTTTTTGGGGGGGTCATGGCCCCCTTTGCCCCCCCCCCCTGGATCCGCCCTTGATTACAAATGAGTAGGAATGAGAATTTGGACAAACAGACAGTTCCAGTTCTATAGACCTCATTCACAAGGAAGCCAGTGCCAGACTTTTATGATTGGAGTGCATTCCAAGCCTCACTTTCCTTATTTTTTTAGGGAATGTTTGAAATCGCAAATTTAAAATTATCCATCAGAGCCGACGGGTATTACTCTGTAATGAACTTTAATTCATTGATTTTATTTCTACTCGCAAACTTCCAATGCACAGGGAAAGCATGCTCATTCATAGACCACAGTGTGGCAGAATTATCCCTTGTCTGCGAGTTGGCAAAAAACAACCCCAAACCACCAGAATTGTCGGAATAAGATGTGACATTTACCAGGTCAATTAACAAAAGTGTGGTTTTCAACTTTCAAAACTGAAAACAAAAACATGAATTGAACCAACACACACCATATGGAGGTTTTGAATAGCTGCTTTTATTTTCGCATGTTTTATCCCCTAACTTTTGGAATGGGGAGGGGCAATAGAATCCTCGCCTATGATTTTTGTACAAATAAAAAAAACTTGATCACTACCTCTCAACATTATCACATGAAGAATTGCAGGTGAATAAGGAAAATAGAGAAAACAACAGAAACAAATAATGTTAGTATTACAATTTAAAGTTAACACTGATAAACTGGGAACTTTTTCCTTGGTTTATCTTGTTCACAGATGTATTTACTTAAAACTCAATGGTTCTTGAGTCTGGCGAGCTGAATGGTACACACACAGCAACCGATGAAAACGTATGTGCGCAAGCTGATCGGTTTGGCTGACCATGACGTAATTACCTCATGGTCAGCCGAGCCAATGAAAACATCTTTTCATCAGCAATGCCTCCCCTCCCCAACCTTTTCAAATTTCCAACTTCCAAAAACCTGAAGAGTTTTTCCATCATCATTCCCATGTCATCAACACAAATTAACGCCCATGATATCTGTAATGACCACAGTGCAGTTCATTGTTCCAGTTCTCAAACGTAGCTGCATGAATTGACTTCGTCTGACGGCAATCACTTGCCAGGCTTTCTCTTCTTTCCCTTTCTCAGCTTGTCATGTTTCGTGCTTGTCCTCGCTGATCCTTTCCCTTTCTTCATCTGGCTCTTGCCCTTTGACCTGATCTGGCCCGACTTGGACGTCCGGGGTTTTCCCTGTTTGGGCTTGACCCGACCTGGCTTGACCCGACCTTGAATACCATCTCTTCTCTTGGTTTTGACAGCCTTCTTCATTTGTAGCCTCTTCATGGCATTTACAGCGCTGTTCAACGTGGTTAAGGGAAACAATTTTGTATAAAGTCACTCTTCTAAGGAAGTTTAGGTGCTCTGGCATTAATAAAAGCACAACCCTCACCGAATTCAAACAGGAAATGAACATGTTTTATTCCTGCTTCAAACATGTTTTTTAAAAACATTTTTTTTTTAAAAACGGTTGTTAAAAGACAACTATTTTGAAAAAAATAGTTGTTTTAAAAACAGTTAAGGCCAAATCAGATTTAAATATGCATGTGCTCTGATTTTTTGAACGAATAACATGATTACAATAGTGTGACACTGAAAAAATGAGTAAATAAATGTAACTATTTACTACGAGGTGGCAGGAAATGCAATTGTGGTGTGGTACCTTGCTCAAGAACACTAACTGCCTATCTTTACAAAGAGGATCCATCATGAGGACTTGTTTTTATCTGACATAATTCACTCTTAAGCTGCTTATATCCAAAGCACATATTCTGTTTGTGTTTTCTGTCTGTTTTGTGCATCTTGCATATAGCGCATTCACCTATCTACGCGACAGACACATCGCACTGAAAATGAGTCTATGCAAAGGCGGCTTTAATGTGCAAAAAGATCGAACAAACGATCAAAAAAGTTCACTGATCGTAGATATTATTGTTCAGCTCCTAAGCTAAACAATAATATCTACGATCAGGGAGCTGACAAAAGCAACCTTATTTACTCCAATACCAATCAGTACATGTCTACAAAGGATATCTGTTTTTGCTTTGTTGCTCTGTGGACGCGAATGTCCCGTCCCGCCATCCGGCTGCCATCCAGCTTGAGTGCAAACTCAACGGACACGTCCTCCTGGGATCAGAGGTGACAAAAATATCAGGTCAAAAGTATAACCTTGAGAAACAGCACTTGAGATGTGTGTGGTTTCATCAAGATCTTTACACCAAGTATTCCTATTGAATCATCGCCACTGTTTTAACCCTATACTTGTCATCAACACTTTTGCCCATAAATGAGCATCAGAGGGTGAAATGAGCATCATTTTTTGCGAAATGAAATTGCCATTGGGCCAGATTTCAGCCTCTTATCACGCAGTTAATAGAGATTTCTATCTGGCTGAAATGCCTTCGCAAAAGGACTTTATTTCCCTTTAAAAAAAATCCTCCTGAGCTACAAATTTATATCAAACCCGCAATCTGTAGTCTCTAAACCCTTCCCTGTACCTATTGAGCCATTGGAATGCTAGGCAGCAGCAGCGATTTCATTGTGTTATATACCTATAGCATACATACACGCGTGCATACAGTTCTTTTATAATGGCAACAAGGCTACCAATGGCAATATTTTGGACCACAAAAACAATCTAGCGTTCAGGCAAGCAGTTGGGATGTCTGTCACACTGCACATGTTCAAGACTCACTATCTCTTTTGTATTTTCAAACTTTCCCACAGCCCAGTCAAAACCATTCACAAGAGACAATCTGAAGGGTTGCTTGTGTACTTAGTTTTTGATTTCATGGTCGGGGCTTAGAATACCCATTAGACCCTGTACAGCCCCTAACCACCCTTCATGTTACTCCCTGTACTGGATTCATTTTGAAATAAATACAATGTAATGCAATGTGGTACAGGTGCTTGTGGGTTAATCAGGCTGTTACAATAAACCGACTTACAGCAAAGAGCAGATAACCGAAGCCTTTGCCTAGTCCCGTCTTTGCATCTCGTATGACTCGGACATTGTCGATGGTCCCACACTCTGCAAAATGTTCCCTGATGACATCATCGCTGACATCGAACGGCAGGTTGCCAAGGAACACCGAATGCTTCGTATCATGCTGTTGGCGTAGGATATAGGAAAAACACGTCCATATATCAAACTTTGCAGGAATTTACAATTGGTGTGCTGGATAAGCCGCATTTTATCATGTGTCATGTTGTAGTGAAGAGCCTACTTGAGATCACGCTTGCAAACTTGGTAACAAGGTCTTGTGATATGGATACTGGATTACCAAGTTAAGGCCAAAAAAAAATAAGTCGGTCTCTGGTCAGCGCGCGCGTCGATTTTAATCATGCGCGTCAATCTGTTTTTTTTTCCAAAATGTTCCGCGGTAGCTCCAACAGCGCCCTCTATTTCCGCACCTCCTCAAATTTTTCTACCAAAGAGCACCAAGGAATGGGAAATTGCACCAAGGCAAATGATCGAAAGCACTAAGGCAAATTATGGAAGACACCAATGTACTTGAGGACACCAAAAAAGCAAAAAAGTACCTACCTTGTCTGTACAATCCAAGCTTGAAGAAAAAAAAAAAAAAGGAAAAAAAAAAAAAAAGCCGCGTGGCCGCGTCAATTTCGGAACTTTGGTCTGACCAGAGACTGAATATTTTTTTTTTTGGCCTAAGATCACATCTTTCAACTACTTACATGAATCTGAATTGCCCATATCCTATTGCATTCCATTCCCCTCCCCCCCCCCCCCGAAATGTATGTTATTGCTTAAAAATTACTGAGGGGGGCTATGGGCTCTGTGCGCGAACAGAGAGGGCGCCCTTTTACCTAGAAACGATGTCCCATGGGCGGGACATTTAGCTGGTTGACGCGCACCGTTCCTTTGTGTGTGACACACGTACACCAGGGGATTTCTACTATGTACACGCAGTGTACATGATGCGGCTGCGCGTCGCGGCAAAATTGCAGTCAGGCAAGATGATGATGGCGTCGGTCGGTCCCCCCCAACTGTGCTTTCTTTGCCGGTGAGGGGGTACTTGTGAACGGAGCGGATAGCCTATTCTTCCTTCCTTTTTGCCAGAACTTGATCAGCCCTCTTGGTGCGTTCCCCTCCCCCCCCCCCCAAAAAAAAATAAAAAACCAACTGCACACCCTAGTATAAGATGGTGTCTATTCTAGCTTGTCAACACTGAACACCAGCCCAAGATTCCTTACCTTTCTACTGTTACTGGCAAGATCCACTCTGATGTGATTATTCTCCACAAGCTTCCCATTCCTGTTGACAAAAAAAACCATGAAAATTAGACGAAATAAGTTTAGAGTGCCTAATGTTTGGATCGTAGCAGAATGTTTTGCCAAGGCCAAATCAGAACCAATTGAAACCACACAAATGCACAGAGCATTTCAAAACCTAAAGTAATCATATCTGTGGTATACTGTGGTGCCAGAGAGCAGGGGCGGATCCAGGTTTGGCTCAAAAGGGGGGGGGGGGAGTGTTAGCAGGCATTTTCCTCTTTTTTTTTGAGGCCCAAGGGGTGGGTAACCCCCCCCCCCCCCCCCCAATCCGCCACTGGAGAGTGAAGTTGGGTAACAAAACCGAGATCGTAACAGTTCAGCCAGTATTATGCCGACTAAATTTACTCCTTCTTTTTTGGACATTAAGTCACATTTTTAGGACATAAACCCACCTTTTCAGAGCTTTCTGAGCTGCCTCCTCACTCTGGAACACGATATAACTGTTGATGGAGTTCCGATCAGGATGGAACTGTTTCCTGCAGCCGTCAGATTTAATGGAGTAAATATATAACAAAGTCAGTTAAAGGCAAAGGAAGTTAACCAGACTCTGAACACCAAAAAAATGGCTTCGAATTTTGTTTGCCGGTTTCACACTATAGCTGGCAGCCATATCTGAGGTATCCTAAACAGTTCATTGATCGCATTGCTGGCATCGATGCATACTACAGTGACATGTGAGGCAAATGAACAAACACTTTGATTTCAAGACTTGAGAAATTGTGAGACTTTTTTGGACACTCACGTGTGAGCAATTACTCTCCTTGGAAGGTCTGGATCTGATGGAGCCTGTTGATTAATAATAAAAAAAATGAAACCAAAAATGAAAGCACAACAAATACTTCTCAAAAATACACTTCCACAATCCAACTTCACATCAATGACTTGCCATGAATTTAGATGGTTAGAAGTCTCAAAACCTACCTGTTTTCTCAACCTCATATAACCAATCCTCACGTTTTGATCACATTATTTTTTTCCTATGATGATTTTGGTTGTTTCCACTAAATATATCAAGCACTTAGACGTGAAACCATTTTGTATTAATGTAATTTTATAAATTATTCTTAGAAAATATTTGTGCATCACCAATTCAATATGTGTTCTTTCTATTAACACATGTCACGCATTGCATAAATTTGAAAACGAATGGGCTTTGTCCGCAAACAAGAAAGGGTGCTTTTTGATCACTTTCAAGAGTCCAGTTGATGGGACACACCGCTTGTGCGTAGGCTTAAAGCCAGAGTCCATCATTTGCAGCCATCCGAAAAGTAACTGGCGTAATTATTGTTGAAAAACAAACTTGGTTGAAAGATAGTAAGGGAACTAAACTCCCTGTGAAATTATTCTTTCTGGGAAGCTGTCATTTTGAAGTAATCAACGAAAGAAGGCATTTCCAACGGTGATTCTTAAGAAGCACCGTAGGAAAATTTAAATTAGTAGTTCGTTTTGTTATTCAGCGCAGCGCGCACAAGTATTGGAACGACGCACACGCGCACGCGGCTGTTGTAATTCGTCGGATCAGTGCGCAACGTCGCGTATAGCTGCAGTTCAAAACAATTCAAAACATGATTCAGTAACTTTTGATTTGAAATTGAGATCTTAGAATGCTGTTTTTCTTGGAATATACAGCTGAAGCTTAGCTGAAACTTCATCAGGTTAGTTGCTCAGTATCTTTCATTAGATTTTGAACTCTTTTGTTGCTTCAAACGAACAAAATGCACAAATTACAAATGATGGATGTAGCTTTAATGGTTCGTGCACGTATAGCGTGAAATACAATAATGTTAATATGAGTATAAAGCCATAGCGTATTTGTGTGAGCTTCAGGCATCATCGGCAATGCATTCAAATGCCAAGTGGTCTCCTCCAACTCTCCTTATCTTACCATTGAGAGGCACAGAGCCGATAAGGAAGTACATGCACCGGTAGTACTTAAATATTTCTGAGGATGGCTCAAATTTGCTGCATGTTTTAACAAATTGGACTACGCCAACTCACCACTGAACGGAAACGGATGCTCTTGATCTCACCAAACTTGTGGAACAATTTCTGCACTTTCTAAAAAGTAAAGGTGAAAACAGGGGAACTAGGAAACTTTACACCCTTTACATGATAAATCACAATATAGGAATTTGTTTTCAGTCTGGAAATTACATTATGGTATAAGAAAATGCTAGAACTGTTCACAGTTCAGGGCAAGAGCAGCAATTTCCTGCCAACAATGGGAGGGGGAGGGGGAGGGGGAGGGGGACGATGGACAAGGGGCTTGGGAGAATTGAAAAGTGGTGTGGGAGCCTGGACACCATTTGACTCTAGGGGACGCTTTTCAAACATGTATGCCTAATACACATGCGCAGTACATTTTGTGCGCATTCCCCACAGTATACTGCAGTACGAACAAACGGTAACAGACAAGCAATATCTGAGACCAATGATTGTGCCTCTTAGGAAAAATACTATGCAAATTTATATACACGTATAGTTGGTGAATGATTAATACACTTGGAAGAATTGTTGGGGGGGGGGGGCATCACCGTTGACGTGCCCCTCCCAAACATTATTGGCGTGGGTGGGGGGGGGGGGCACTGGCTAGAGCAAATGTGTTCTCATTTTAGAAAGAGTGGTTCAGCTAAGAGAATATTTTAAGTGGAGTTGCAGTCAAATCCGTCACATGTCCATCACAAGTCAAATACACACACAAAAAAAGCTTAAGGCCGGCCAAAAAAAAAAAGTCTCCGGTTTCTGGTATGGAGCTTGCCCCAAAAGTGGTGCGGCGACGCGGCTTTTTTTTTTTTTTTTACCTGTTTTTTTTTTTTTTTGGCTTCAAATGTCGGCTGATGACTGCAAATGGTGCCCCACTAAACTCAGTGCAAATATATGGGAGTCCAGAGAGGCCACATAAAGCTTATTCTCGATCATAACCCCATCTAAAAGCACGTTAAAATTGTGCAGCAGCAGGATTCCAGTCAAACCAGTGAGTTTGGCGGTTTTGATACATCATCTTGTATTGAAAAAAAAACTTTTTCATTTTGCCGACGCGCATGGCTACGGCGACGCGCGCGCATACCAGAAACCGGAGACTTTTTTTTTGGCCTAAAGGTCACAGGTTACACACTGGATGAACAATGACAAAAGGAATGTCCTCAATTGTCATGGTTGACAGCACACTCGAGTATATTGTGACTTCATACTCATGTGATTGACGATTGCTGGAGACTTGTGAAGATTTGAAAACTATCTGATTTTGGAGACCCTCACTCACCTTTTTGTCAAATGCCACTGGTAGGTTGCCGACAAACACGGTCCTGTTCCTCTCCTCCTGGCTTGGTTTGGCATGCTCCTTCTGAGTGACTCGCTCCATGTTTTTAGCTTTCAAATTCTCTAAGATTTTGACGTCTGCAGCTTTGGGTCTGTTTGCTTGTTCTGACAACTGCCGCTTCTTTTTTCTTCAATAAAGTTAATAAATAAATAAAATTTAGAGCAACAAAAGATTTGAAGGGCCTTGAATACCCCATGGCCCTCTCCAAAAACAGAAAATGATTGACTCTTCATTCATAAGTCTACATACCCAACTGTTGGATCATGAGATGAAGTGATCTTTAAAGGTATAGTCCATCATTTGTAATTGTGCATTTTGTTCGTTTGAAGCAACAAACTTCCTCAAAATCTAAAGAAGGGTGCTGAATAACTAACCTGATGAAGTTTCAGCTCAGCTTCAGCTGTATATTTCGAGAAAAACAGCATTCTAGGATCTCGATTTCATATCAATAGTTCCTGAATCATGCTTTGAATTGGGCCCGAATTCAGCGTTCGAGACACATTCTCACTGAGCCGAATGCAGCTACTCGATGTCGCGCAGCGATCCGACGAATTATAGCAACTGCGCGGGCGTGTGCGTCGTGTCAACGCTTGCACGCGCTTCGCCAAATAAAAAAAACGAACTACTAACGGAAATTTGCAACGGTGCGTCTTAAGACGCACTGTTGGAAAGGCCTTCTTTCGTTGATTTCTTCAAAATGGCAGCTTGCCAGAAAGAATAATTTCACAGGGAGTTTAGTTCCCTTATTATCTTTCAACCAAGCACGTTTTTCAACAATAATTACGTCAGTTACTTTTTGGATAGCTGCAAATGATGGACTATAGCTTTTAAGAGTGCAGCAGAGGGGCTCACCGGAAGAAATGGTCCCCAACTACTTATCACTCTGTTATTCTGAACTCTTAATACTCCATGGGAAATTTGTTGTAGGAACATTTCTAAATCGTTCAAAATTTACCGTACGACAATCAATTGTAATAGTTTTGATGAAGGGGGGTCAGGATTATGAACTGGGAAAGGTTACAAGTTAGCTCTATTCCTTGGCCTACAAAGTGATACAAGTTCCTACCCGAAGTTTACCACTGCAAACAGGCAAATAAGGAAGATACATGTACCTTGTTGACCAAGTGCAACATTTGTTTATAAGCTCCTTTTTTTAATGCATGTGTATGCGCTTTGCAGGACTAAAGTACATACGATACATAAATTGTGTGCCTTATGTTGTGTTGGCAGGTTTTCTCTTCGTATATTTCTAGGTGTTGATATAATTGCTCTATCTATCCTGCTTCTTTGGTAGGAATTTCCATACTCATCGCTGACATCCATTTATTTGTCCTTGAAAATACTCCACACGAACATTCAGCCAGTACATGTACAATGTACCTTGATCTCTTGTTAGGTTATTGTTAAAAGCCTGGACATCAAGAGTGCAGAAAGAGAAAACTCCATTTTTCTTTAAATGTTGACGGATTTCATGGACATTTCAATCCAGAGTCACGTGTTGTCATGACAGATTATTTTGAAGGAAGATGATGAATTTGTTAACAACATAATCAACAACAGATGGCAAATTCTTTAAAAACGTGCCTCATCATCGGGAAGCCAAATGACAAAAACAAAAAGCCAGGGGTCTCATGTGCTCTCAATCCAAATCCAACCTTGTCCGTGCTAGAGGGGGAGGATTAACTGTTGGATTAATTTAAATCTCACTCATTTCTGTAAAGTACGCGTGTGTGGTGCGAACTCAAGTCCACTTGAGTGTTATTTTGTGGTGTCGCTGACGATGTATTTAACCAAAAATAGCCCAGCTCAAGTCCGATTGGAAGTATGTCTGTGTCAACTTGTGGATGTGGATTGTTGGGTCTGTTCATGATGACAAACACAATAAACAATTTGCCAGTCTTGCTTGCTTCAAGTACTGGTTGGGCAGACTGACTATTTTATTTCTCTTATAACAATCTCTTTAAATCTATCACCTATGAGAAATACAAAATATGCACAATTTAAAAAAAAATATTGAAATTTGATATAAATAAAAAACAAAAACACAAAACTCCAGGAACGTGTACATGTACATGTAGATAAACATGTGAGCTGAAACTTAGAAGTAAAACTATCTGAACAAAGTTAAGTTCAAAAGTTAAAGGTGACTTTTGTCTAAAGATTGCACAAATAGTGTTTTTTGCCTATTTTACTAACCATGTTCCAATATGGTGGGGAACCAACTTAATGTCTGTCATTAAAGAGAATGTACAACATTTGCTTTTGCTGCAATTTTCAGAAATAAATGGATTTGGAGGATTAGAATATTATAACAAATATTGTTAAAATGACTTGTTTCACGTTTAAGGCTTGTACATGCTGGAAAACCAAGAAAACCAATCATCTTCTTGTAGTCTGATTCCCTGACCCCACTTAAGATGAAACGGAGCAATTTATGGACTTTTGGGAATTGTAAGGTCAGAGAATCAGTCTAGCAAGCTTGTACCCCTTCACAGACGTGTAATCAATTGCAAAGAGAACGTGGAATAACTAATTATGAAAAATTGGGAGCAGTTTTTGAAAAAAAAGCCAGTTTTCTCCAACGCTGGTCGGCCGACCAGCGTTGGAAAAATACAATTTTTCTTGAAAATGACAGCACACCAGGAGCCACGATTTTAAAGCACGCTTGAGACTGTCATTCCCTAACAATCCAGTAAGGTAGTTAGTGATAATTTGATCATTTCGTTTGATGATGTTTGCAAATGTTGTATCTTCCCTTTAACAGAGAATATGTTGGAAAACCTTGTTTGGTTATATCTGACACCACATCCTTAATGCTTATACATGTACGTATATTTGGAGCAGAGAAGTTACGAACTTAAGTTTTCAACATAAGACATTTGCAGGTATGCAACTGAGAATTCAGAAGAAAAAAACCAAGGTAATTCCAAACCACACACATGACACCAGACTTTGTACATTGTTTTTCAATTTGTAATGGCATTCATGAGAACAAAGAAAACGAGGGAATCAGCGGATCTGAGAAAAAGTTGCATACCTAGAGCACCGTGTTTTTTTGGGGGGGGGGGGGAGAAGGTGTGATTGGATTAAAGACTAGCATTCAAATTCAATGGCTCAAATTTTGAGAACCAAATTATATATCCTAACTTCCTATACAGATTAATTACACGACAAACACAACTTTGTAAGTCAAGTTGTGTGCTCTGTTATATATTCTTCTTTTTAAGGATCTACATGTTACTTCGTTTTGTTCATGTGAAAGAGAAAAAGGCGCATTCAAAATAAAACTGCTCCTTTAATTTAGTACATGTGCATGTGTATTCCTCGTGTTGGTGAGCTTTATTAATACATGTAATGTGCCTATCAAATCCCCCTCCCCCCAACACTGCTCCAGGTCCAATGTCGGGATTTGGCCACGTTTTTCATGCCCCAGGGTGGAGACTTTGATCACTCAAAAAAAGTCAAATTACAGTACAATTGATAGGTGCATAATCTTAACCCTAACCTTCCCAAATCCTCCCAAATCCTCTTTGTAAAATGGAGGATTTTGCAGGATTGAGGCTATATGGCAAAAATGTGTGGCTGATTTTGGAGGATGCACTGTGTCAAGGTCTTGGGCCGGACGTTGTGTTGTTTATAATGCTCGGCCTTGCATAAATTTGGGTCTAGATTATACATGTACTTGAAATCCTTCACACTGCTCCAGGATGTCACTGGCTCTGCCTCAATACATTGTCAGTGATTGCTGGAGGATTATGCAGGATTGAGGCAGTGGTGCAGTGGTCACCCCTCCAAGGACCACATTCAAGAAATAACGGAGGATTTTGGAAGATTGAGGTAGTTTATGCTATTTTTACATGGAGGCAGTTGGAGGATTATGCAGGATTGAGGTTACATCCTACGGTAGCAAAGATGCCTAGGGAGATAGGGTTAATAGCTCGTTCATCTTGATCATACTACGGTTATAGTAATTCATGGTATACACTGTAATACTGTTTAGAGTTCATTTCGTGGAGGTACATAGTGCATGGAAAAACTCTACATGCATTTCAAATATATTCAAATATGATTACGGTATAAACAATCATAACCTTTTACCTATCAATAAGTCTATAGATCACTTTATCGGTAATTTGCTGTTAGTAACACAGAAAGCTAGGCAATTTTTTTTCTTTCAAGAAATTGAATTTTATATAGTGTTCAATACATGCAATTTGCTTTAAATACATGTATATGATCTGTAGTGGCAGCCATTTTAATTTAGTGTGGTTTCCTTGTCCATCACTGCGAAGAGTTGTAGCATCATACACACCAGTCTATCTAGAGACAGCATCCATTATATCATTTTTTTTATTGAGAATATATGACAGCAGACAGCATTCAAAACTATAAGTCTAAATGTCAATAAATTGGTTCGTGATCTGGAGATACTTGATGAAGATTGCAACTTGGAGTCAGAGGATCTTGATGATGGATTTTGATGACGGAGATTTGAAGAATTGCTCACTTCCACATCTGTCCACCATACCAACCGCGAATTGCGAATTGTCTTCCAATGTGGAAAAATGCAGAGACCTTCCACAATATGCGAAGGAGGACTTCAAATTACGTATCGCAAACCTTTCTCAAATTCTCGTTCCTTTCTAAACTTCATGTCCGTAAGCAACGATCCCAAGGCAAGGGGAAACATGTCCTCCGCAATTGTTTTGGCCAATGTCCCCTCCACCACTAACTGACTGCAGTGCCTGTACAGGGCCACATTAAGCGTTCCGTAGGCCCTAGGCACCAGTGTTCCGGAGGCCCTACTGCACCCTAGACACCTGAACCAATTTCCTGTTGATGATAAGCTTTTCAAAACACCTTAAAGCAAGCCAGGCCACATTGTGATATTTACTTAGGCCCTCACATTTTCCGTAGGCCCTCAAACTTTTGTAGGCCCCTGACTTTTCCGTAGGCCCTAGGCTCAGTTGCCTACTGTGCCTATTGGATAATCTGGGCCTGTGCCTATATTATGTTTCTTACTGTGTCATAGCTCAGAGCTGAGAGTTATTGGTCATCCATCGCCTATTTCAGTTAAAGTTAGTATTTCCATTGTGGAAAAATTTCCATACTGGGCCACCACTTTTTTCAATGTTCAAGTACATGTACCAAAAGTTGCATCCTTTGTGGTTATTTCCTCCACTTTCCCTCCTCTACTCTCACCCTCTCCTTTCCTTTATTCCTATTTATTAATCAGTCACTTACTTCAAAGAGATTCGAACCTCGGAAACACGAGATTTTTAACCGCTAGGCCGTGCACGATCGCTATTGCAATGATCAATCTTTGGACGTATTTGAAGTATCCATTGAAATAAACATGACAAAATAGTTATTCATAATGATCATGTATTGCACTATCATTGGCCGGCTCATGCGTTGTCATGGTTGTCGATGTCATGGGTATAACGTATTGCTGTCTTCCAGACACTTCAATCAGTTTTGACCGTGGCGTCTGCTTCAACTTAGTTCTGCGCGACGTCTGCATCCAAAAGGTGCTCTAAAAAAAATTTCCCTTACTTTTTTTCGCATTGCCAAGCCTTCCTGGATTCCTCTTGGGTGAAATCACAAGGTGAGCTGAAAATTGATGTATTTGGTGGCAGGTAAGTGGTGATCCAGTATGGAATTTTTCCCAAATGGTACAGATAGATGGATGGAAAACGTAGATATATATATTTATATGCATAAAAAAAAAACAAGTTTCTACAAGCAGTACTATGAACAGTGCCCGGCCCTCACTCTATGATTTTCCCCATGCTATTGTTCCCCCCAATCTTCGAAGGAAATCATGGTTGCTAACCCTGGACGGTCCCTTGTGCTTGTTTCAGGCGTTGCAGACGACGGCTCTGGTGTGGTCGTCGGGACGCTTGCTGAATCCACGGACACAGGCGCAAACATGGCCAGCAGCCCCTGCTTGTCTTCGTGTATCAATTGGTGGCTGGGTCGATGACCTTTGCGGATAGACAGCAGGGCCGCTACTTGTCCTAGGGCGTATTCACCACGCCCCCCACAATCCGGCTTGATGGGGCTCTCTGCAACAACTGTGGCCATCTTATCTCTTTATACAAAAATAAAAGAAGGAAAACAACCCAACTTAACATTAAAAAAAGAACAGACACAACGCATTTTTTGTTCGTTTTAATGATGATTTGTAAATTGTAATGTCCAAGTTATTCAGTCTGTGGCAATAATACAAGCTAATTGCTTTATATCTCCAAACAAACTGGTAGTCTGAGTATCATCCATTGCTCGTCGGTGCCCGCTCCGTAACGTTTGTTATAATGAGCATGCAAATTGTACGTGACCCGCGCGGCATGCAACAGCCAAATGAGCCAATCGGAGTCAACTTTAGAAAATGTGACATCATTTCGATCAAAAATGTAGACTAAGCTGTTGATTAGTCAATTTGGCCGTCACATTATTTTTTGCAACACAACAACTGGTTATGAAAAAAGACCACGCAGGTGCAGTAGCGGCGCACGGAGCCAACGAGCAACCTTGGCACTGGCATGACAAGGCTTTAGTCAAGTCCCACGCGCTTACCTGGACACGTGACGCACCCCGGATGCCGACACGTAAAAAGACTAGCATGAGCGGCGAACCGAGGGCCTTTACCATCTCGTGGAGAACGCTTATGTTTTTCTTTACATTTGGCTTCTGATTTGGTAGACATGCATAATAAATGCATTACCCGTTGTAAATTGACCAATGAAAATGCAGAATTACTAACATGACTAACGTAAATCAGCCGTCGTCTGGCGCCAGACAGCATGCGCGCCATGGCGCGGGTACTGTTGCTGGTAACCGCAACCCACCGTTAGATGATTGGTTTATATTGCTTGATTTATTATTATATTGAATAAATGAATAACAGATTAGTTCTGTCACGCCCCAACTATCGCATCGGTCCCAACTATAGTTGGGACGGTCCCAACTATAGTGCGGCAGTTGGGTCGGCCCAACTATAGTTAGGACTGGAGTTGCGCCGGATGCTTCATGCTTGATAGATCTTGTTGGATTAAATGTTCCGCGGCGCTGGCACCGTGTATTCGTTGTGCATGCATGACGCAAGGCTGGCCGGTCACGTGGTAGGCCTACTGCCTAGTTGGATGAGTTGTCCAGCTGCTGGGTTTTATTATCCAGCAACATTTTGCAAAATTCAAAGATTGCCATGGCCGGCCAACTATAGATGGGCCTCTACCATAGCTAATGTCAAAGGTCTCAAGTCGGACATGTAATAAGCAGAGCTGTAGAGAATGTTTTATAGTCGTACATCAATGTAAACTATAGTTGGGACTGCCAAATAAAAATATTGCGGTGGCCCAACTACAGATGGTCCCCACCCATAGATCATTTCATTGGTCCCCAGTAAAGTCAGATGTATTAGAGTTGTAGAGAATGTTTTATAATCGTACAACAATGTACACTATAGTTGGGACCGCAAAATAAAAAGATTGGGGTGGCCCAACTATAGATTCGCCCCATCAATAGCTAATTTCAGTGGTCCCCAGTAAAGTCAGACGTGTATCAGAGCTGTAGGGAACGTTTTATGGTTGTACATCAATGTAAACTATAGTTGGGACACCGCAAAATAAAAAGATCGGAGTGGCCCAACTACAGATGGGCCAGCCCAACAATGGAACTTACAGTTGGGACTGTCCCAACTATAGTTGGGACAGGCCCAACTATAGTTGGGCCAGCCCAACTGTGGAACTACAGTTGGGACAGGCCCAACTATAGTTGGGACAGGCCCAACTATAGTTGGGACCGATGCAATAGTTGGGGCGTGACAGTTCCACGAGATAGTAAAGGCCCTCGCGGGGGGTGCGTTACGTGTCCGGATGGTCCAGGCCGGTGTCACGGTCTCACTTCTCCGGCGTGCTAGATTCTCCGGGTGAATGCGGTGGATAATTGAGCACGTTACAGTGCACGTTACATGAGCACGATACATGCTCATGTGTCCGCTGTGCTTACTTTTCCTCGGGCTGTTCTGAAGTCTACAAGTCCATATGTAACACAGTGAGGGACACCCAAGAATGTGTTATGTAACACTTCCTGTGGGTCAAGCTATTGAGCTTATAGAGAGGAGTATGGTCATTGCATTCCATGGTCTTGCAAGCACTCTGATTTGTGTACCCAGCGTCGTGTGTGTGTGTCCATGGAGGAATAATTAAGAACGAGCTCCTTGGTCTGTGCAAGGTCTGTGTTCCTTGCTCGTTCGTGGTTGTCTTTATTTTTGCAACCATGGTTATATTTAAAGTAAAAGTGTATCCTTCAAGTTTTTTGGTTACGTTATTGGGAGTTGTGCGCGCCACGAACATTCTTAATTCGACTGGTACCTTGTAACGTATACACACAAATATCCTAAGATCTCACGTGCACCAGTACAACCCCAAAGAACTCAGCACACAAATAAAGTTGGCGGAAATGTACACTACTGCGCAATTTGCGCATGCGTGTTGAAGCGAAATTTCCCTCTGCGGAGAAGCCAGCACGCCGGAGAAGTGAGACCGTGACACCGGGTATAGGCGCGTGGGACTTGACTAAAGGCTATGGCATGACTGGCACTTAGCCCAGGTGGACTCCCTTGCCTCCCTACGACTACGTCGTAATGCAATGAAGACTTCGTCCAACAGTAAGCCTACACAGTGTGGTCCGCCGGCCGGCTAGTCTGGCATGGCATTGCACAAAACAATGATCACATTGGTTGTGTTTTTATTCCTCCATCATGCCATGGTCTATCATCTTTTGTGATTCATTTTTAAAAAGGGTTACATTTTTGTAAGTTTTATTTAAACATTACCTTGACTTCTTCTTTGTCATTCTACATGTACACGCACAGCTGACTACACATCACAAGCAAAAAAACGCCATTATTTTCACTCCCTTTTTGTGCATGCTTTCCGTGTCATTCCATGTGCGCGCGCAGGGGTGACCGTAAGAATATGGCCAAATTCTGCTAAATGCAATAGAAAAATCTGTCAGATTTATCAAAAATCTGCCAAATTCCCCAGAATTACTCGAAATACACTATAAACACTTAAAATTATAGCAGATCAGTAGTATTGCCTTAATCAAAGTTCAAATTACATTATAAACAATCTATAGTAACATAACGATCATGTTATGAAATTATTGTGTAAATTTCAGGCAAAACGCAGTTGTGTCACGACGAAGTCCGAGACCATCCAACTTGTCCCATTATGCAAGCGTTTGTTTGAAAAGATTGAAGCTTTTTTTGAACAAAGTGTCCCCATTTCTTTTCAAATTCGCTATGTTTTTTCTGTCAAACTCCATATTTGCAGAATTATCTGCCAAAAAAATCTATTCTGTCAAATTTTCTGTCCAACTCGTTTTTAAACAAAGAAATCTGTCAATGTTAGCCGAAAATCAGCTAAAACGGTCACCCCGTGGGTAATATGTGCGCTTGCGCTGCACGTACGCATTTTCGAGAGCCACTTCTCAAACCTCGGTTTTGTCAATAGATGTGGTTTCATACCTATTTATTAACCATCGTTAACACTAAAACCAAATGAACAGATTCAAAACTTTGCGTTAGTCAATAAAAATGTTAGTATTGTGTCAGAACATAGACAAAATTTGGCCTCGAGGGATATCGGCCTCAAAAAATGAAGCTAGTCCTCAAATCTAAATCTAATCCCAAACTTGGATGGACGCAAAGCTTGAAAAAACACATTGCGAAATAATAAGTTTGGTAATGCCGCCCTCAAGGCCTCAAAGGTTTCTGCTTGTGCTCGTGCACATGTAATGCATTATGATGCAACCCTGTATTAAAATTCCCATAGACCCTAGTGCTAAATGCCCATACTTCAAAATTCATTTACAAATACTCAGAACTCTCACAGGTATTTAAGCTGCACAGCAAAATGATGATCAACATATCTTCTTTCATTTTCTTTTCATTTTGGGTGGGTTGACTATTGACTTTTCGAGAAATTCTCACCCCAAGATCAAGAAGACGACCCCTATTTTCCCAAAGCGGAAAAGTAGCCATCCTAGCTGAAAACGATCTCTCCACATCATGGCGAAATAGAGCCACTTTCGAGCACAATTGCATCCAAGCTGTATGCTCAATTTTTGAAGCCCCAAGTCCGGGCCAGAGGTTCATTGTCATATCTCTTCAGTTCCACAATATTGTATGACTCTCAGAACTCTCTAACATAGAATATTTTGCACCGGCCTAATTCTATCCTAGCGCTTTACCTAAAATATTCCATAACTAAACGTGGACGGAATGTTTTGTTCGACGTGTCATTCAAAAGTGATAACTTTTGCATTTCCAATCAATTAAATGCAAAAGCTATTTTTCGGGTTGAAAAGCTTGAAATAAGCACGGGAAAAACCACTATAACATTCCCGCCAACACAAAATGCCATCATTATGTCAGGCATGGCCGGAGCTATAAAAAAAAAGATTTTGATCCCGTTTTTGCCACACTAAAATAATTGAGCTAGCTGGCTCCCTTAAGAAATCGCACATGTAAACAGGGCGACGTCAATAACAATACATATCAGCCATAATGATTTATCCCTCATTTTTGCGAGGTATTTAGCTGTTTCCTGAAGGCGTGACTTCTCAATTGACCGTATACTTCAGTGTTCGGTTCACTAAAGCTGTTATCACAACGGCATCACGCCTGCTCGGGTTATGAATACCATTCCTCAATTTGATAGTTGCATAGTTGTCCAATAATGCATCACTAAGTACTATTGCCCATTCCTTCCTCTGTACAGTAGGGCGATCATTTACCCTATAAATACAATAAACACTGCATGAAAAAAATCATGTTGACTCAGGAATAAAGGGGAGGAATTCTCCAAATACCGGTGACAAAAAGCATCCTGATCCCCCATGAATTCAATTCAGCAACAATGAATGTCCATATTGAAGGAAAAAACCGCATTAACTTCCACCATGGCCGTCAGGCAAAAGGGTACACATAACACGTACACACACACACCCAACATCGTTTGTTTATGGTGTCAACCGAGGATTCTCTATTGTTCCTCTTTCCTTTTCTTTGTTTATACTTTTTAAAAACTTTTTTGCAACAGCTGTGCTCTCATTGGTTTTGTACACGTTTTCTAACCGAGGAGTCCTCGATTTGGTTCCTGTCCTCAATTCGTCGATGATGTTGCACGTGTGTGTCCTCGATTTACCGTAAACAAACGCAGAAAGGTTACTCAACTTGTCTAGAAAACAATTGAGAAAGTATGAATTAAAAGAATGGGACATCATAATACAACAAACTTTACCATTTTTATCACTGGAAATCTTCAAATCATTTATTAATTCACATCCATCACTGAATAAGATAAATCATTTTTTTCAATAAATTTTATTTGAAATATGTTTGCAAGGCATACCCATATGTGATGCGATCAAGCTTCATGAGTCGTTTGTCGATCCTGGTCAATTTTTTTTTTTACAGATTTGAAAAGAGCACAATCTCAGCATTACTGATGGGAAAACCGCATGCTGATACCCTCTTAAAGTTAAAAAGTTATGGAAGTCAGAACACCAAGCAATGTGTTTCAGTGATGGGATGAAGTGGTCCTATTTTTGCCTGTATCTCCACATAAAAATTCCCGACAAACGACTCATTTAGCTTGATCGCACCACATATTTTAGACAGACAGCTGTGCTCAACACAGATTGCTATGTGATGTACATTGATTGTACACAACGTTTCCTCTAACATTGCTCAAAATGGTTATGCTTCAAAAATAAATAAAAACCAACGACTTTCACCATAAAAACAACACCCTCGACCACACTAAAATAAGAAAAATACATAAATATCATCACTATGAAGACGGTAAACAATACATTGATACAAATATTTTGAAAAAATACTCACTATACCTGTACAGAAGTAATAGAAGGCTCTCAATGAATCTAAAAAGCAGAAAATAAACAGTACACAAACTATATGGAATGCAGTACAATATGTGAATATTTGATGCAAATGCTGAAAACAGTTTAGCTATGAATATAAGAATATATATATCCTGATTAATACGTATAGTAAATATGGTTTATGTGATATATAGTACAAGTTCTTTGGGTTTAAAACACACTTGGTTCGAGAACATTTCCAGAACAACCAGTTTTTCTCCCAAATTCTCGCAGTGTGTACATATGCATGTACCAGATCACTGAGGCTTAATATGAGTTCACTGAAAAAAATGTGTTCACACAATGTTCCGAGAACAAAGATGGAATGAAATTTGTTTAATAAACCTTGTGTAGAACACATGGGTAGTGAGACATTTTTCCTGTCCCTGTTACATTGCTAATTTGTCATTCAAGTATAATTACGAATGACTGCAAACAATTTTTATTTGTTGGGTAGGTACATATAGTTCATAATCAACTATTCATAATCACTCTTGGAGGATGACTGCATTAAGGAGTGCATCAGAATTATAAAACCATACATGTACATCTCAGATGTAAAAGCGACAGGCAAAGAAATTATCGAAAAAAATATACGTTTCTTCTTTGCACGTACATAAAGGCTGCTGTGGATATAAATTCCCCTGTGTGCTTTTCAGCTCATGAATATTAACTGCGGAATACACTCAATATGGACTTATGCACCAGCACTACAACAAGTTAGTCAAACAGACACCCTAATACCCCATAACTGAAAGAGGCACCCTCAGATTTGAATGGTCTGGGTAATATAAAGAGTCCCTGTAACTCTTTACAAGTCTCTCCCCCCCCCCCCAAAAAAAATGTTTGCTTTAATAGTATAAATCACTGAGTTTAAAATAGCACACTATAAAAATGACATGGAATGACGTACATGTTCACACTTTTATCAGGTAGTGGATAGTGTTGTAAACACCTTGAAAATATTTTATATCCTGTAGCACGAGTCTCCACTATGGTCTCAAGTACCATGTACATTGTACCCAATGCCTTTGAATTAACGGTATGCATGCTACAACCTGCACTCGCACAAAATGAGTTCTTCAGGGCGTGAAGGACAACTCCTGACTGACAATGGCACACAGTTGAAGAGCCCCAATTATTATGCCACAGGTTCCGGCATATTGTACTAAATAGGTTCAACCTTAATATCAGAATCACTGATGACGCCAACACGTTAGTTAGACTGTGTCCGAATTATTTGGCTATGTCTTGAATTTACACACGTGTCTATGGCAGCGGCTGCAGCCGCTTCCCATAGACTCGTGTTTAATTTCAAGCCGTAGCCAGGTTATACCGACAAGGCCTTACAGTTGACATGCACTGGATGAATTGCACCAGGCAATTTTGACTGCGATTCACAAAACTGTGCACTAAATTAGGACCAATAGACCAATCTAGTCAGCCCCGCCCACTGCACATGTACGTGGGCAACGACACGAGCCTCTCAAACACCAAACTGCGTGTTCCAGCAATGCGCGCGTGTTCTACGCATATGCATGCATGTGTCTGATGTTTTGTGCACGCATGCTGGACATTAATCACGGTTGTGGTTAATCTTGGCCCAAGACGTCAGTGATCAAGAGCGATAGTTGCATTGTTGTGTAGCGCCCTTGTGCGAATGTTTACAACCGTTGGGCGAGCCATTCAACCTTTTCTCGATCACTGATTGGTTCCCTAGGAAAGCCTAGAGAGAAATCATAGGAAAAAGTTAAACCGCTGAAACGATATGGCCAAGACGTTAGTTCGAGTAAGCCCGCTGATCTAATTGTGCCATTAGAGGGTGCACTATCCACTATCGATTAATAGCGTCTTGGGCCAGGACTACATGTAGGCTGTGGTCAACACGCAATGGGGCGGGGCTGAACTGATCGGTCTGTTACAAGGAGCTGCTTGTTGCAAAATTGCCAGTCAAAATGTCTTACATGTATGTATTGAGTGCAAACGGTTAACTCGGCTCTTTTTTATGTGCTAAGCACGTAAAAACTGCTAAGCAATCCCATCTCTGAGCCAAGTAGACATTCACCAATTGAACATTTATCTTGATTGAAAAAACACCATCTTACAAGTTGAGAGACTTATAACAGACTCTTTGCAGAACAAAGCCATAATTTTTCTTAAGTTTAGTTATAAATACCACTGGTTAACCCATTCCACACTGATGTTAAATGTTAGAAAACTTAAGCCCTTTGTAAAACCTGATAAAGAGTTTCCACGGTCACTCTTGAAAATCACAATTGATGTCACAAGAAGGAAACCTGAAATTAATCAATGGCACACTGACAGTGAAGTAATTAAACCCGATCCTGTAGAATGTAAATTAGGATTTTACATACTGAATACTGCAGCCTTTCAAGGCACTCGAAATGGCAAATTACAGATTACTGTTATCGGAAGTTGGTTCACAGCTCTAGCACATCTTTGGTAGAAGAAAGCCACAGTACTCAACTACGACAAAATACTGTACATGTAGGTACTTCCAGTAAGACACACGTACATTAACCCTAACTCCCTAGGCCTTTTTGCTAGGATGTAGCCTCAATCCTGCAAAATCCTCCAATTGGCCTCATGGAAAAATAGCATATAGCCTCAATCCTGCAAATTCCTCCCCTACATGTATTTCTTGAATATGGTCCATGGAGGGGTGACCACTGCCTGAATCCTGCAAAATCCTCCGGCTATGACTGTCAATAGGCTGAGGCAGAGGCAGTGACATCGACATCCTGGAGCAGTGCGGAGGATGTCAAGTATAATCAAGGGCTAAATTTATGCACGGCTGAGCATAAACAACACAAGGTCCGGCCCAAGACCTTGACACAGTGCGTACTCCGAAATCAGCAACGCACTTTTGCCATGTAACCTCAATCCTGCAAATTCCTCCAATTTGCAAAAAGGATTTTGGAGGATTCAGGGCGGTTAGGGTTAACAGGATGAAAGTGCTTTTTGTGTCTCATTATTTCTGCTAAAATCTTAGATATTTGTTGTAATTTGTCAGGAATGTTATTCCCTCGTACTGGGTGTAGTCATTACAGCACAGAGTGGTATAATAAGTGGATCAAAACAGAAGTTTACATCGCCATACCTTGTTGTGTTGCATGCACCTGGTGTTTTGAAGTAACAAATACAGGTATATAATATACTTTGTATTTAGTCTAAAAATACTGTATAAGGAATAAAGAATACACTACACTTTTGTACAAGCATGAATAATGTCTAGATGTAAAACAGAATATAAAAATATATAAATACATTGTACTTTTAACCACCGTACATGTATACGACAATGGTTGACAATCATGTACATGTACTGCTTAATACTACAAGGACATGGACCCCACCACAAATTTAAAATTGAAAACAAAATCTGTTTAACCATTTTCTTATTCCTGTAAATTACATGATTCTGTTAACTACTGGTACATGTATATACATACATGTACATGTACGTACCGGTACCTTCAAATATGTGTACTTTTATCCTTGTTAAACTCCCCCAGCAATTTTGATAAAAATTCTCCAAATGGAAATGGCAATATCTTTTGTACTTCCAACTTTCGGACCCCATATTAACTATTAAGTGACTGGGTTGAGCTTCCCTAAATCGTACAACATGTACATCGATCCTCCAAAACCTGGTGGAATTTGAAGGAACTTGTAAGTTTACAGACTTTACAAAGGTATTTGGTTGTACAGTTTTGAACTCAAATGTACATGTACATGTACATTGTACATGTACACAAATGTACAGTATAGTGTGTACATGAAGAATCTGGAGAAAATCTTAGTATTACTTAAATACATGTAATAGCGATTTCATTCATGTCACAAATATACTGGTACATGAACATGTATGTTTGCAGTTAAACCTTTTGTATACAAACTTGACAGTTAATTTGATTGTTTTATAACATTCTATTGAAGTGCTCATATCCACAACCACCTAACTTTTCAACATTAAGCTTACGCTTCCCCTTTTCTTGAACACCAAAACTTGGGAATGGATGCTCATGGATGAATTTAATTTGTAAAATTAAAAACAAGTTGGAGCAGGTGTTGTTACATCCGTTTAACTCAAAAACGAAAAAAAAAATACAAAGTGTAGTCTGTAGAAGAATGTTTTTAGATTTACAGAACCATATAGAAATGCAGAACAAGTGGCAAGACTGATGCTCAATTGCAAACGTATGTGAAACAGGTAGATACATTTGTGAAAAAAACCCTGTTAGTGTTTGTTTTAATGTTGAAAAGTGCACTTTTTTTTCGAATAGATGTTTGTCCTGTCAACCGTGAAATCTTGATCAAACTCCAGGTAGTCAAACTTCTTTATTACTTGGGCTCAATGTATGCAAGGAATAATAAACACAATTGTAATGTACATACCGGTACATGTACAATGTATGTACATTTTGTACATAGTATGCTGCCTTTGACAGTAAAATGGCCAAATAGAGGACAACTCAATTAATACTCAATCAGAAATTCCCCACATCAAAATCGTGCGAAACCAGCACATGGTTGACAACAGCTCTATTGAATCAACTGTTACATACATGTAGGTACAATTATGTGCTTGAGGGACCCTCACAATCGTTTTTATATTGCTGTGTTTGTTATGGCAAAAAGACTTCATGTTTGTGAATGAGGGATGACATGCATTTTGGATATGTGCTGAACCGCATCGCGTCCCAAAATATCCGCAACTTTTTTTTGCGAGGCTCTAGCATCGCCGCGGACACACGTACCGCCATTATCTTTATACCATTTTAAAGCTTGGAATCTTAACTTTATCCCCGGCGAGTATTGGTTTGATTTTCACAAGGGTTTTGAAATTATTCGTGTTCAAATAAAGGCATGTCAAAAACAAACTCAACTGATTTGAAAGGAAAATCACTCATGCACATTCATGTCATGCATACATGTACATGGAAATGCTTCATCAAATTCATGATGTGACAATCTCGTTGCCTTATACTTTCTTTGTTTCCGATTCTTTCTGATCCACGTAGACTACAATGTACACCTTAAATACATTCACATTGTTGTTCTTCGTTTCAAATGCAATGTGTTTTAATATAAATCAACTATTTTTGTTGTTGCTATTTCAACAGCTTGTTGAATATCTAGAGTTCGTCCATCTGATCATCTGATGTACCGCGCATCATCGATTTCCCTTGAAATCGGTTAGTTTGTTTTGACATGCCTTTATTTGAACATGAATAATTTAAAAACTCTTTTGAATATCAAACCAATACTTGCCAGGGATAAACATAAGATTCCAAGCTCTAATAATGCCGATACGTGTTTCCGCACCGAGGCTACAGCCTTGCAAAAAAAGTTGCAGGTATTTTGGGATGTGTTGTTCATGTACTTAGTACATGTATGTAAATGAGATAATATGGCAGTTTTTATTATCTTAAGTCAGCATGTGACTCCATGTGATTATGCTCTAAGCAGAAAATAACTACCCAACAACAAGAATATCTTTTGGTATATCAAATAAAATTCTGACTTTATGGATAAATAATGAACATGTACATACTATGATAATACTTTATGCTATTTGAATGGAATGTGAAAATCTCATTTTATTCTGAGCTTTTCAAGCTCAGAATGTATGACTCCCAACACAGCATCCTCCACTGGATCTCTGTTACTGTCTCCTAATGCTGAATCCTCGGAGGATATTGTTCCAAACCTCTCGCCCTTCCCTGTCACGTCCACCTTGTCTCCACCGAATTTCTCAGTGTTACTGTTGTTGTTGTTAGAAAACGCGTAGTCTCTCACCGGCAACTGCATTCCAACGAAGGAGACATTGGGCGACAAATCAATTCTTTCAACTTTTTCCGTTGGGGAGGTGGCCTCCTCGCTGTACATGCTGACTAGGGCACGCACGCCCCTCACCCGCGACTTGGTGTCGTACAGGTTGTTAGCGTCACCGTTTCTGCTTCCCTCGTCACTCGCTACGTCGTCCACAACGATGCCCATGTCTTCTGTGCTGGCATTGCTGCTGTTCTTGCTGCCTGTGCGCCCCTCCTTGCTGCTCATTATGTCCAGAGCATCATTTGATTGGAGTGGTAGTGAAGGCGACACAGGATCATCTTGGGGGTAATCCCTTGGTGGAAGGTCCTCCACTGCTGAGATAATCCGTGAGCGTCGGTTGGCTGGCTTTGGTTTGGTGGGCGGTGGAGGCTGCTTGGTAGTGGTACTGCTTGCAGAATGGATCGGATCGGTGTCTGGAAGGTACATGCTATTGCGGAAGAAGCCACTAGCGGGCCTAGAGTCTGACTGCCTAGGGCTGACAGTGTGGTCATCGGGAACCGATGGTACCGTGCTGTGCATAAGCCCAGGCAATGGCGTCTTGCTTTTATCTCTCATAATCCAATTTGCCTCGGAGTCTGACTCCTTCTCTGGCTCATTATCATCGACATCATCGCCAAGGTCTATATCCATACTCTCATTGATTATGGAGTCCAAAAACTCCAATGTGTTCTGCTCGTCTGTTGGCAGTGCAGAATCTGCCTGGTCTTCTGGTGACTGCACAACTGACTGGTCTCGTTTCTTGGCCAGTGTTTCCTTGACCTGCATCTTGAGATTGGCCATCGTTTCTCGTACCTCAATCTCACGCAACTCCCTGGCCGACTCGGTCGAGGGCAGCATGCTGGATGGTGCATCGGCATTGTGACTGCGATCCACAATCCTCTCCCGTGGGTGAAAGTCGGGCCCAAAGCGGTCCAGGAAGGGGTGAACATCCCTTGAATGCTGGAGGTGAGAGGGGGGCCCGGTGTAGGACATCTCAATACGGGGCTCTGATGACAGATCCTCCCCAAGGAAGTCAATCGTCTGTTGAGTTCTGGTGAAGTATCCTGGAATCTGCGAAGAAAATAAGAGACAAACAAGTTTACTGAACTTGTACAGAAACCACCGAGTTAAGGGACATGTATCAAGCTTTATTCTGCGACAATCCACATAACCTTGAAGCAACAACTTAAAGGGAATATACAACATTTGCAAACATCGAAAAATAAAACTACCAAGTTTTTGCGAAATACCTTAATAGGATGTTGGTAAATGACAGTCTAAAGCATCCTGTAAAATTATGGCACTTGGTATACTGTCATTTTCAAGAAAAGTGGTATTTTTGTATCAATTTCCAACGCTGATCGGCCGATCAGCGTTGGAAACAACTGCCTTTTTTTTTAAATACTGGCCCCAATTGACCATTGCATTTGTTTGCAATCGATTACAAACCTATGAACGGGTACGAGCCAGCTAGACTGGTTCCCTGACCTTACAATTCCCCAATGTATGTAAACTGCTCTGTTTCTTCTTATATGGAGTCAGGGAACCAGACTACAGGAAAATGATCGTTTTTCTTGGTTTTTATAGCATTTTCAAACCCAAAACCTCAAAAAAGTCAGTGTAACTATATTTGCTTTATATTTCCAACCCCCCAATTCCATCCATTTCTGAAAATTACAGCAAAAGCAAATGATGTATATTATCTTTAACTAAAACAACAATCATGGTGCAAATGTACATTTATGTATGGGTCAACCTATAAATGTGGGGTCCACTTTTTTTCCCTGTCCCTGTTACATCTGACATCTACAGTATGATTTTATAATTCAGGATGCAGTCCTCAATGCAGTCATCTTCCAAGAGTGGTTATGAATAGCAGACTACCTACCCAACATATAAAAAGTCGCTTAAGTAATTTTTGCATGTAATTGTACTTGAATGGCACACTACAAAGTATCAAGGCAACATAGACAGGGAATGTCACATTTTGAACCATGTACAATTTACGTAACAATCATACAAGTGAGGGTTAAAGTTCTATTTCTCAGTAGGAATTTGAAATAAAATTTAAAACAAAATATGAATACATGTAGTTTCCATTTTCTTTGAGAGTCTTTCACTTCAAAATGATACATGTATGTACATGTATACATGTATGTTCAAAAGGATTTGTTCTGTTTTTCCCAGCTAAAGTTCACAGAGAGATACCTATTCTTCAATTTGGAAGAAATTCCTGTGCACAAAGACAAATAATTTGTTGCGAATAAAATCCTTCATTTTGCCGATGTTTTTTTTATACAACTGAAGCTCTGTTCAACCTGTGTTACACTGCCAACAAAGGTATGCTTGTGATGGGGGCATTCAATTCACAATGGACCGAAACTAGTTTAGGGGTCATAACACACAAAATAGAATCATAAAAAAAATCCGAAACAAACAGACAGCGTTCATAAATTACATGCGTATGGCTGGTATTGTTAGACAGTAGAATTTTGTTCAAGAAATCACGCAGTGTTGTGTTCAAAGTACACGCATACATAACATGTACTTGTGGTATAATGTACATGTACAGTGTACGCATGTCAATGTACAAGCACATGTTTTGCTCATTCTTGTGCAAAGCACTAGAAAAAGCAGTTTGAAAACACACAAACCTAATTCATTGCTTCCAATGTTCAGATTTCAGGCTCACTCTGTGCATGCACAACAATCATTAGGTATGCAGAACCATGTAGACATGAAACAGATGTGCTACCGTTCTGTCCACAGCACTTAATGCAAACTATACATGTACATTTATACGCAGAAAAGAACTACATGTGCCAGTAGCAAACGTTACACAACAAGCTCCAACTGATATCTGTGGATTTTTGGGGGCCTGCCTTTATTCCTAGAGACAATAATACAGGAGGTACATGTACATTTACAATGTGCTTACAGATCTAGCTCCTGAATGTGAACCATTGGAGCAAAACATTTATTTGAGTTCTGCAGACACCCATCCTTTCTCCACATGCGTTTTTTCCCCTTATTGCGCCTTCATCTATTTTTGGCAGCATGAAAGCTTCAAATGGCCATTCTGTCTGCTAACGCAGTTGATGCTTTCAACTTTCAAGGAAAGCAGATTTGATCAGATAAATATGTAACCAGTATATGTTTTTAGAATACAGGTGTGCAAAACAAAAAACACCAAGGTTTTATACCAGGAGGACCAATGACTTGTCGCTTCAGTTGACAAACGGACAGGATCAATGGATTTTTCCTTCCCTGCTGTTATTCAGCTCTTGAAGTGATCCTATGGTGTGTACTAGACATACAAATACCGAAAACAACATCCTATACAAAAGCTTGTTACTCCAAGGTGTCTAGTAATAAGAATATTCAAATTTAATCCACAGCAATGCAAACGTTCAAAACTGAAACTGCCAAATATTATGAAATATATCCTAATAATAGCACATAATAGGATCATCCTGTGAATTTTCCGCGTGATATCATTGCGCCTAGTATGCTGTCACTTTCATGAAAAGAGGAATTTACTATCATTTCCTCACAATGGTAGGGACCAAAACATTGATCACAAGAAAAAATAATTCGATTTTCAAAATCAAACACTGCTCCCAACTGACTGACTTAAAATAAGTTTGCAATTGATTACACACACCGTATCAGTTATTTTCCCGAGTGACAAACATCACACATGTACCACAAAAGTGTGCAAGTGGTCAAGCTACATGTAGAAATCTTTTTAAGCTTGAGTCTACATTTGCTTTCATCTTACCTCTTGAAGCGAATCAATGTAGCTTCCGGAGGACAGAAACGCCCTCTTTCGCAGGTCTTCAGACCTGGAATGAGTCCCGCCCATGATGCTGCTTGGTTGGTTCAGTCTTATGATATCCTTACTTCCATCTTAAGTGTAGGCTCTGTCTAAAAAAAAAAAAACAGAGAAAGGGAACATTTTGTATGCAATGAAAGAAAAAATATTGAAAAAATTTTGGGTCATGGATTGGGGGGAGGGGTTGCCAGGCTGTGTTCATGATGGGACTGTGGAGTGCTGGGCAGGGGTCAGTCTGAGTTTTGTGGGTGAGGGCAGGGATTTTCTAGGCCAAGTTTGGTTGGTGCATGTACATGTACAGTTGTGTATAAATGTACATTGTAGGTGCCCTAGGTTGGTCGCTGAGGTACATGTGTGTAAATTGGTGAGACCAGAGTTGCTTGTTGTGCTGAGGAGGGTACACATGTATGTTGAGGTTGTTTGTGCTTTCCCTTTTTCTGACATTTGTAAAGAAGCAGTAACAGCGTTATTTTCATGACTTGAAGTGACCCAACAGGATATGGCCCAAACTTTCGGAGGTGGGGATGCCACTTGCTGGGCTGGATATCTCTGCAGTGGGGCTAGGGAATGATGGGCATTACTGGATATGATTCAGTACAATCCACTTCGGTTATGTGGGTGTATTTTGTGGTACATGTATTGAAACTTTTTGTAATAACTTCATTGACAGTCAGTCAATGCAACTATATTAAAATCACTTGATTTTTGGAAACAAGAAACATTTCAAATATTCATTGAAAAAAACATTGAAACAAACTGAACAATTTAAGGATTTCATCTCTCCTCCTCCCAAAAAATAAAAGAACCCTCAGGCATTCAAGTAAACTTCCAATACTTTAAGTGCATGCCAGACAAATAGAATGCAGCATAGTGCTATTACCCATCTGGTACAATTGTGGTCCGAAAATTTGGGACTCTCAATACTGCGTAGTGTCCCAAAACTTAAGGCATTGAAAACATGCAATACAAGAAAATAGACTAGCACATGAAACAACCAGTCCAACACCGCTTCAGTACTGCATCAAACAACTGTCTGCTGACTATGCCAAAAGAAATATCCAGAATGTCGGGTACTAGGTCACTATCTATACACATTTCTCCATAGTCAGGCACCAGACTAATGACACTGAATGAAGAAGCCAGTCTTGTCAAACAGTTGGCCCATGGATGGACATGTAGTCTAGTCTTTAACCTCATTTTGAAATCACTTGACTTCCCTCTCTTGAGAAAGCCACTGCCAAATATTGACGAAAAGTCTCCTTTAAAAATTGACTTTGAGTCTTTAAACTTGGTTGGTGAAATACTGAGGACCATTTCTTTGCCCAATGACAGTTTTGGAGAAACTTGTTGGCTGAAGAGTGAGTAAACCTGGCTTCTATCTTATTTTTCATCGTTTTGAACACTTAAGGTCCCAGTCTGGTACATTTGTATAATTATAAATGATAATAATTGTATGTACATGTGCGAACCTTTTTTACTGTTAATATTTAGTTGTATATTTTGAAGTAATATTTAATGGTATTTAATAAAGTAAGATAGATAGAACATAGCATACATGTACATGTATCTTAAGTAGAATTGTATAATTCTAAATGAAATGGATATTTATTTATGATCAGAACTTTTTTTATCTTCCAATGGTTTTTTTTCAGTGTGCAAACCTTTTCTAATTATTAATATTTAGTGATAGGCCTATATTTTAATTATTCACGAGGCACAAATAATATGCCTTCTGCTTCTGCTTGTACACTGTACATGTTGCGCCGAAACTACGAATCAACGGAATTGTAAATACGGTGCGCTGAAACTAGGAATCTCAATTTCGTTATCGTATTTGTAAATCCGCTAACTGTGTTGTCTCGCTCACGAACAGCATGGTGCGGCCAGAAAACAAGATTATTTTCATCATTATTTATGAAGTGAAGGGCCCAAAAAATAAAATCTCAGGTGTTAAGGAATTTTCGGTAGATGGGTCAAGTAAAACTACGCTGAGACCGAGTGATCACACAGAGTAACGAACAGAGATGGCCAACTCACTAGACCGCCACGGTGGACTAGACTTGCTGCCAGTCTCTCTAGTCCACGTTTAAAAAGATAGAGGGCTCCAAAGGGGAGATGAAATCAATAGGCTACAGTTAAAGATTTTTCCCTTTCACTCAATGGTTTCATTCTTTGCATTGCGTTTCCAAACGAGCTGGTTTGTTTTGTATTTTTCTCACTGACTGTCTAAGTATTCAAATAAATTTCAAAATATGAGCCAAGAAGTGAAAATGTCTTAATGTTTTTATTGCTTTTTTCCCCCTATTATTTATGACTACCGATTAATGGGCACCTTTTAAAAACAGTGTTCCCAAGATAATCACAATAAATATTTTTGAGGGAAATTTGGGGCTAAAATGACGATGACAGCGCGACGACAACACGCGACCTGAAAATAAGATGGCGATCACCGCGCAATGTACCATGAGCACACACGGCGCGCTGAATCTCAAGACACAAACCGCGCAGGAAAATTGTGATTTCTACCCCAAGAATCTGTTCAAAATTGCAAAACGAGTGTCATTAGAATTGAGAAAAGTCTGTTTTTTATTGTAAAGCCAAAGGACAAAAGGTGATTTTTGAGCAATAAAAAAACATTTTTGATGCAAATTTGATCGAAACAAAACAGGGGCCCTACACTTCACGATCGCCGTTGGGTCACTGAAGGAGTGAAGCCATGGAAAAATAAGCGATGGTCAGATATGGGATTACATGATTCATTGATTGGGAATCTTTCCCGAAAAATGTTGAAATGACTTGAATCTGGGACATTTAAACTCACTAAGTAATTACTTTAGGATAAGAATTTAGATTGAGAGAAACATTTCCAATTTTGTTAGAAAACACTGAAACTACACTCGACTTTCATATAGATGTTGTGCCCATTCTTGAAAATCACGCATTCTCGAGAATGGGTGTGCACATTCTTGAGAATGTGCAACTGGATCCTTGCTCAATCTTGGCAAAAAATAACTCTTCCAGATTGAGCGCACATTCTTGAGAATGCGCGACAAGATAACGGTCTTGTCAATGCCGAGCACCGGCTGCGCTTGGCAAGTCTAGCTGAATCCTCGTTCACTGATTCTTAATAATTATACTGTTGCAACGCAAGGCGCTGAAAAGTACATGTAGAGTGGATATGAAAAGTATACGCGTATTGGGGGAGGGGCAGGGGAAAAAAATAAGAATAAATAAGAAAGAATTCAGATTTTTGGGATAATAAAAGAGGGGGGGGGGGACGTAAGAATGAAGAATGTGAAGAATGAGAATGAATACTGCGACATACCATAGTGCTAATGCTATTTCCCATTTAAATTGCCACCAATTTATTGTTCACACCCCACCATAACGTCGCAGAGCTGGATTCTATCTAGTCAAAAGAGCAATTTTGGCAGCTTCTGGACATCGTTTTTTTTCGTGGCATGCATATGATACATACAGGGACTTGTACTTGTCTAGCCTAAACAAAGCACTTCCCAGACTAGTTCCCAGTCCTCCGTTATTACAAAACTTCCCATAAGTAGGCAGGAAAAAGCAATAATAACAGGTTTAATATGATTCAAATTATCGTAGTTATACGAGTACAGAAGCATAGAACATTTTCTTTCCTCTTTATATGAATTGTTTCCCTTTTAACCGCTATACAATTCATTTAACATAATTATGTCGTGCAATGTTTGTTAAGACTGGGCAAAATTCATAAATTGTGCACGTGATATTCCCACCCAATCTTAAGAATGAGCGCTCATTCTTAAGAACGCGTGCTCGTTCTTAAGAATGGGCGCTCATTCTTAAGAATGCGCGCCCATTCTCGAGAATGCGTGATTTTCAAGAATGGGCACAACATAGACAAAACAATGATAGGCTTTAAATAGTATATGTACAATTCGAATTGGCGTATGTATGGCCGCTTTCGAGTCAACTCGTACCTTGGGCAACTCGTACCTTGGACAACTCGTGCCTTGGACAACTCGTACCTTGGACATCTCGTACCTTGGACAACTCGTACCTTGGACGACTCGTACCTTCAATTAAGACGACTCGTACCATCAGAATAAAAAGTAGAGTACGTGCGTAACATGACTCCGAAACGATACGATTCTGTTCAAGCCAAAGTTAATTTTTATCCCACAGAACCACATTCAATATCTAATGGCTTTGCCAGGCAGCGTGATTTTCCGCGTTGGGCCTGCCGCAGGCATGGCAGGGCAACGAAATTGACTGCCGGGCCGGCCTCCGAGGGCGCGAGCAGCGGTCGGTCGTGCGCGGTACCGATGCCGGTGACTCGGAAGCGGCCGGCCTGCGCGGCGCGCGCGGCATCGCCATTCTGTTTTTAATGGAATTACATGTACTTGTACATTCCTTGTGCATATTCAACGTTTGATTCGGTAGCTAAGATAACTTGTGAAATAAATTTTAATATACTTTTTTTTTTTCTTTTTAGGTTCTGGATTTGGCAAGGACCAGATGACATCGACAGTTTATTCTTTTAGTTTATTCTTTTAGTGTATGAATTTAAATTGTTATCTAAATTTAAATCATTACATTTTCTTTCTTTTCTTTCTCATCTATAGAAGCGTCGCTCATCTATTGAATTTTACAGTGGAGAAACTTCAGATGCGGATTTGATGTGCTTTAATTATGCAATACAGCCTAACCACCTTAACTTCCTGTTTCCAGGGCGAGCTTTATTAAACTAAAAATAAATTCCTCTTTTGGGGGGAAAGAGAGCCCATACCAAAAAGATATTCGCTTTTATTTTAATAAGCAGTCCACTTTCAATGAGTTACGGTCCACTTTATTCAGCCTCGGATCATTATCCTGACTGACGGTACGACTTGACTTACGCGTGATGGTACGAGTCGTCTTAACTGAAGGTACGACTTGCCGAAGGTACGAGTTGTCCAAGGTACGACTCGGTATAATGACGTCGAGTTGAAGGTACGAGTTGTCCAAGGTACGAGTTGCCCAAGGTACGAGATGACCTGTTACCGCGATTACCGTATGGCCGATGGGTACTTGGTGTCGAAAACACACGAACTTACCATTTTCACCCACGCTGCACTGTCTGTCGTCTAGCCACATTAAATTTGATGCCTCGTCTTCGACTTGTTTCCACTGCAAATAACCCAATCTATACGCTTTGAATTAATCTCTCTTTATAGTCAGGTGGCTTAGATCTAATTTTCGTCAAGATCGTGACCGACTGGTCCAAAGCACCAAACTTGGCAGATAGATTCTTATAGCCCTAGAGAAGATATTTAGAAGGGGTGACACCTGAAATTATTTTGGGAAGGGTGCCTTATTTGCATAAATCGTTAATCCCTGACGTGTAATATATTTATTCCCATATTTGGGTATATTTCCATTTTTTTATTTTTTGGAAAAGTGTATTTTGGGGATTCTACTTACTTATCTTTACTTAAATAACATTTTCCAAAGCATATAAGTGACTGAATAATTATGAGGACATAGTAACGATCCAAAATGGCTACTATTATGACCTAAAATTGCGCGCATTTACCTTGTCTCCAGATATCATCAATTAGTCTTGCCAAACATTAGCATTGATGAACTTCAAATTCACCAAGTAGCTTACTGGTACAGCTACCCTATTAAAACCTTATGCAAAATCATGTGAACTATGATAACATTGTGATATTAAGCCCAGAAAACAAAAACTGGGGAAAAACGAGGTGTCCATAAATTAGGCTAACAAGTAGGTGAATGGTTGCCTAACATGGAACACTGGAACAAGTTCAAGAAAATTCCCCTAATTATTGTTGAGAAAACGTTTTGGCGTAGACAAAATTATTGTAAACAACAATAATCTCTTATTTAGGGGGATTTTGTTGAACTTGTTTAAGTTCCCACGTTACCCTTCCCGTACTAGCCCAATTTACGGACACCACATTGTCTCCCCTTTTTTGGTCTTTTGGGCTAAGCATCAAAATGTTATCAATTTTCACTTGATTTCCCACTTATTTTTGTTAGGGTAACTATGCCAGTAAGTAACTTTGTTAATTTGAAGCTCATCAATACCCACGTTTGGCTAGACTAGTTGATGATATCTGAGGAAAAGGTAAATGCGCGTAACTTTAGGGTAAAATAGTAGCAATTGTGGTTCTTTACTATGTCCTCCTAATTATTCAGTCACTTATATGTTTTACAAAATGTTATTGAAGTAAGAATATGCAAGTAGAATCACCAAAATACACTTTTCAAAAAAATAAAAAAATTAAAATATACCCAAATATGGGAATAAATATATTACACGGCAGGGATTAACGATTTATGCAAATTAGGCACCCTTCCCAAAAGAATTTCAGGTGTCACCCCTTCTAAATATCTTCTCTAGGGCTATAAGAATCTATCTGCCAAGTTTGGTGCTTTGGACCAGTCGGTCACGATTCCGACCATATGCCACCTGACTATTAACAGATAAACTTTGTAAAAAGCCCCACATGCTCTATGCACAGCCACCGGTGCAGGTGAAGGTCTCTAAAAAGAATACTTTCAATGCCTTCTAAATAATTTCACGTCCACTTCAACAATACACACGGTTTTGTTTTTTTACGTTTTACAACAGCGCTATACGATGGTATGCATGCATCATTGGTTTCTTTTGTATGCATCGAGGTCGGTTACCCGTGATAGCTTTTTCTCCGCACGATATTGTATGATGACTCAAGTAGTGTAGACTGCGTATTTGACCCTGGTTTTTTGTGGAGGATCATGATCCTCATCGAGGATCATATCGGTAACCCCGACGAGGATCATCAGAGGGGATGTGGCTGTGGGGAGGTGACGTCACGGATCGATAGACAAATCGATAATGAGGTGGAGATAAGGGTTTAATGAGGATTAAAGCGTTTGCAGACAAAAGTATAATAAAATGGTATGCGGAGGATCAGGATAGCGTATCGAGACACTGTGTGTGAATGTGGACGAAACAATATTTTAACCCAATTCGTGGATGAAGGCGAGTATCGATAAACACAGTTCTCAATATACATGTACTATCATCAATTGAACTCTTTTTGTATTTATTTATTCGTTATTTTTTTTTTTTTTTATAAATATATTTGTACGTATAGCATATTTTTTTTTTCTGCACAAAACAAAACAAAAGTAGGGTTTTAGAAGAGACAAACAATAACATTGAAGTAGCACACATCGAGACGTACTAAAATTACAAAAAAGTGCACACAGAACACGGACACGAACAATAATATCAAAATACACTTAAAACATAAAATAAAATCAAACGCGCGCACTTTTCAAACGAATCTAAAAACGTAACTAGAACAGTCATCCATCTGCAGACACAAAAGGACTGAAACTGAATATTAAAAGCCACGTATATAAGCGTTATATCCTTTAACAATAAAAATACACACAACTTAATAAAAGACGACTCGGGGTGCCTAAAACCAACCGGAACTCACCAGAACATTCCTTAAGTGGTCAACGGGCGATATACAGTTTTCAAGTATTTTATTCGTAACCACTGCAATCAGTAAAACATGCGTGTAATTACAATCAATGCTTAATTTACTATGAACAATATTAGTAAAAGAAAACAAATCATTATAAAAACAATAATAATGATAATAATAATAAATAAAGATACAAATTAAAAAAAAAAATTAATAAATAAATAAAACAAAACAAAAACAATTAAAAAAAAAGAAAAAGAAAAGAAAAGGAAAAGTATTAAAAGAATGCTAAAATAATTAAATGTACACCCATTGTCAATTAATTCGGTTAAGTTCGCAGATAATTAACATATGATGAAATAGCCAGCAAATTTCGTTTATGATCTGTAGCTTTATTTATATAGTCAGTCTGTCCTTTAGTTAGAACAACGACAACAACAATAATAATACTGAAGAAGGTACTTTACCATCCCGCCCAAACACATTAAACGCGTATTTGCTCATCAACTCTTGCGAATGAATCGTACTTTGTTGTTTGTTCATTACATTACTTTAAAATACAAAATAGGCTACCTTAGGTCTTAAAGATCTTCCGTGTAAGTTACGACCATAGCATATATGGGGACGAAATAATACCGTATCACAATGGCCTTTGTATTTGGATGGGGAATCCCTATGACGTCACACTGATGAGTCATCGATGGACGGCAAACAGAATGACCAGTCCAGACTTGTCCGGTCGTCGAGTCCGAATTCGCGGTGTTTTTAAATATCTCCATGTACACAGCCTCCAGTGCCAGTGACGTCACAGTGATGATTCAGAGATGGACGACAAACAGGCTGACCAGTCCAGACTTGTCCGGTCGTCAAGTCCGAATTCGCGGAGTTTTTAAATACATGTACATGTACATGTATCTTCATGCACACACGATCAGCGGTGTGAACCATTTCAACGTTAGGTAAACGTTTGGTGTGCATCGGCAAGGTGAATGAATGCAGTTTATATATGCAGTTGATTTTGATTTCATCACGACGATCGAATTAATCTCCTACACAAATTCAAAGTAAGTTTATGTCTCACGATATAATTATTATCATCAACATTTTTTTTCTCTCTTTTTTTTTTGGGGGGGGGGGGGGGCAGTCCTTTGTTAATGATTTAGCAAAGTCGGCGTGATACATTGCACATGATAACATTTTGTTGGAATCCGTTTCAGAATTTGAATAATCTTCATCGAAATCTTCGTCTTCATCCTGCGTAGATTCAGGTCTACAGTTTTCTATTTCCGAATCTTCAAATCTACGCTTTTTTAAAATCAGGTTAAGAATGATTCACATCAAGGTCCTCCACTTTAATTTCCTCATGACAACATTTTGTTGGAATCGTTTGGGTGATAATTGTCCAAAACAATTTTTTTTTTATTACCTCAGGGTAGGCCCATATCCTCTCGATGCAGTTTTACAAGGTACGAACTGTACTGTTTTCTTTTCTACCAAAGGCGTTACAGTAAACTATTATTTTAAAAATTACAATAGTCTTTCTTAAACTACTAGTCTTCAGTCATCACTGTCTTTAATCAACGCTAGTCTTCCTCCAGATCTTGGAACAGTCCATCAAATTTGGATTGATGTTTAGGCATTATCCTGTTGAGGGCTGTATTTACTTCTGTGCCTTTATTTATTTTTTCTTCCAGATCTTCAACAATTTCTTGATGGGTATCGTTATCTTTCAAATGTAGGTAACTTGACAAAAAATCCTTGTAGTTGTTGAAAAAGCATCGCTTGACTGCCCAGAGTGTCTTCCTATTTGCTTTTTCATTGGCTTGATCTTCACCCATACACCCGTTGACGTACTTTTCATATTTCTCACTCCACATCTCTTCGGTGGCGTCTTTGGCGTCTTCCAACCAGTCTTGATATACGACATTGTCTTCCAATTCAGAACTAGACTCATCTTCATCCGATAATTCGTCTTCTTCTACCTCCGTTTCGGATTCCGAATAACCTTCCTCGAAATCTTCGCGTTCGTTCTGCGAAGATTTGGCTTCATAGTTTTCTATTTCTGAATCTTCAAATGACTCATCTTCATCCGAACATTCGTCTCCTTCTACCTCCGTTTCGGACACCGAATAACCTTCCTCGAAATCTTCGTCGTCATTCTTCAAAGATTCAGCTTCGCAGTTTTCTATTTCCGAATCTTCAAATAACTCATCTTCATCCGATAATTTGTCATCTTTTACCTCCGTTTCGGATTTTGAATAATCTTCATCGAAATCTTCGTCTTCATCCTGCGTAGAGTCAGTTCTACAGTTTTCTATTTCCGAATCTTCAAATCTAAGCTTTTTAAAATCAGGTTCAGAATTATCCACCTCAAGGTCCTCCACTTTAATTTCCTCTTCAGCATGTATATTTTCTATATGCCTCCGTAGGTTATATCTCCGTCCAAAGCTCTTGTCACACTTGTGACAAGCATTGGATTTGACTGCAGAAATAGCATTCATGTTGAGTCTTTGAAGGTAAATCTCTGAATGGCAAGAAACGGATGAAAACATTTGATATGTAGCTCCTTTGTTTTCATGTCTTACTTTCTTCTTGCTCGTTTGCTCTTTTCTTGCTCATTACTTGCTCTTTTCTTGCTCTTTATTTGCTCCTTTGTTCTTTTCTTGCTCTTGCCTTGCTCATTTTTTGCTCTTTTGCTCTTTTCTTGCTCTTTTCTTGCTCTT